ATCACCTTAATGACATTCAGATAAACACTAAGGTAATCAGTCACCTTTATGACATTATGATAAACACTGTAGTAATCAATCACCTTTATGAGATTATGATAAGCAAATAAATTAATCAATCACCCTAGTAACATAATGATAAAGACTAAAGTAATCAATCACCATAATAACATAATGATAAAGACTAAAGTAATCAATCACCTTTATAACATTATGATAAAGACTAAAGTAATCAATCACCTTTATGACATAACAACAGGCGGTGTACAGAGAATGGTTTAGACATTACATCTGAAAAACAAAAATATGGTATATAACAATAGAATTAAGCAGCCAACAGTGAGTAAAAAAAGTGTAAAGAACCCTTTTCACGCCTTTCGGCGCATCGGGCATATGGGCAGAGCGTCCCATATTTTTACAGACCATCAGCACTGTGGGTAATGTGGTCAGCATTACGCCGGCTGTCTTTACTTTGCCAGGACAGCCCATCCTGGTACCCATTTTAGGCTGGGTCGACCTGCGACGTCCCATACCACGACAAAAATCCACGCAGCCTGCAGTGGGTTTCGATCGCGGTATGCTGGCTCACGAGTCAGACTCGCAACGCCTTAGCCACGGACGCAGCAGCCAACAGTGAACATCACAGTAAATGGAGAGATCTTAGAATAAGTTACTCCTAACTTGGACATGTAGTAACAGATGAGGGCAGAGGTGAAAAAGAAATAAAAAATAAAATAAAAAAAGAATAGGAATGCCTAAAACTATCTTTAAAAAATTGTGACAATTATGGACAGCTAAAGAGATAAACAACACACTGAAAATAAGAATTGTCAAATGTGTGTAAACTTAACCCTGCTGTGTGGTGCAGAAACTTGGACAATGAACAGGCAACTACAAAATGGAATTGAGTACCTGGATTTTTGGATATACAGAAGAATAGGTTCTATTCCATGGAAACAAAAACAATCAAATATAGAGGTTGTGGAAAGACTGTGAATGAACAGAGAATTACTGAAAGAAAGAAAACACAATATTATGGCCACATTCTAATAATGAGATTTTATAAACCATACTAGAGGGAAAAGTCAAGGGCAAGAAAGCAAGAGGTAGACAATGATACAAGAGAGATGACAACATTAAGTGATGGATGGGAAGCAGTCTGAGAGCTTGTACAGCCAAGACAAGAGACAGAGCGTGCTCAAGATCCTACGTAGCCCACCTTCGTTGTGGAGACGCACCTGATTGATGATGAGGATATAATAAAGACATCAAGTAATGTACTGACCGGCGCTCACAGTTGGAGAAGAAAGAAGTAGATATAAAAGGACACACTGGGAAACACATAAATGTGTCTTCTTATCTTTACAATCTCTCTTCTATGTGTGTGTGCGCAAGTGTGCATGTATGTGAGCATTTGCCATCAATGCTCAATATTAATAGTATGTGTACTCCCCTATCTTCTTGATACACATTACATTCGCAAACTCAGTCTGATTTGTGACATGTAACTTAAATAAGTTCTGATTTGTTAAAGGTAATTTTCACCAACTCAATCCGATTCATTACATGTCATTTTCACCAACTCTATATGATTTGTTTCATGTCATTTTCACCAACTCTATATGATTCGTTACATGTCATTTTCACCAACTCAATCTGATTCGTTACATGTCATTTTCACCAACTCAATCTGATTCGTTAATGTCATTTTCACCAACTCTATCTGATTCGTTACATGTCATTTTCACAAACTCAATCTGATTCGTTACATGTCATTTTCACCGACTTAATCTGATTCGTTAAATGTTAGTTCCACCAACTCAGACACTTTTACTGCTCTCTGGTCAATGTTTTCAACATCAGTAACTCAATTATAAAATGTCAGACAAAATGTCTTCCAGGATAATAAATATTCTGTCAAAAAAGGACATAGCAAAGAATATTCTGTTGAGAAAGTAAACAGTATGAGTTTAAGGAGGCATAAGAGAAGTAATAACACAGAAAGCTCCCTGGGGGATAAAGAGAAATAAATGAGCGTACTTCTGTAACAAGAGGGAAGCCATTGCAGCCTGATGGTCAGCCCAAGGGTCTTGGGTTTAAGTCCACATTATAGTGGATTTTTAAAATAAACAAGCTTGTCTCCCAAGTTCTTCTTCATGTTCACCGGCTCTACAAGCCTGTGGAAGGTTCTGGTTGTTCATCCACTTCTGGACTTTCATCTTGTTCCAGAGCTTGAGCTTTGCATGCACATCCATTTTACAGATCTGGCTTAGTTGTGTGCAGACCGTTGGTTCATCACCTCTTCAAGCAGATGCACTCTGACTTCAAAGAAAACAATCCTAATAAATTGCTTTATATGACACGCTTGTTAGGGGAAGGTAGGTCTGTTCTTGGCTGCCCCTCTAAATGGGGTAATTAGTCAATGTGCTAGGGGAACAGTTAGCATCTATGCCTTAAGATTTTTGCTGCGGGAGACAGAGCATCTTTGGGTATGCCCAGTGTGCTATATCGATTCTTAAATCAGTAATCAGTACTGTAATAGACATAATGTTATAGTAACAGTACCCTTTTCCTGAAATTTTGTGGTAAGTACCGGAACTACTTTTAACAACAGTATTGCTAGAATATGAAATCTGAAGATGAAGCAGAAGGAGAATCAGCAGCAACAATGACAGCAGGACAGATTTCAATTTGTGATAGTTTCAACAAAAATGATTAACAAAACACAAGCTTTAATTTGTGCTTAATTAAACTGTAAGTTTATAAACACCCAATTCTCTCTGTCGCTCAAACGCAGAGTGACTTGTTTTGGAGTGAAAGTGTAAACCTATTAAAACTACTCATCGTTCAAACATAAACATAAATCTAAATGCCCACTTGCTGTAAAAAAAAGTAATAGTTTTGTACAAGATACTAAATCTCTAAATGCTGTGTTAACTAACTGCACAATATAACCATTGTAACACACAACACAGCAAAGCATTGAAAAAAGTGTAGGACAGACAAAATAGCAAGACTTACAACAGAATAAGACACACAACCGAATAATGCACAAAACATAAAAAGACATACAACAGAGTATCTTCTAAGTGACTTTTTGTGAACTGAACAGAGATTAGATCTACAATATTTTCCGCAGCCAATACAACATTTTTTAACCAAGAAAATCTAGCTAAATATTAATTTTTAAATTTTAGGCACAGACGTTTGCTTACTGAAGCGATAACTGCATCCCAGTGTTGGGCGCAGCTTTTTGCTATTTTAAGGCCCGCCCTGGTTGTTGCTGGGAGATCCCTAATATAACCCAGCCTATGGGTTAAACGTGGTTTCTGGGACCTATCCCTAGGTGATCCTCATCCAAATGGTGACACTTTGAGTCACTGGGTGTTTATCACTTGGTGTAATGTCTTTGTGGAGTTGAACTTCATCATCATTTGTTTATAGCAAATCTTTCCAAACTTGTCATGTTGAGGACACAATGTTAGATAAACATAATTTTTCCACACCGTTTTAGGTTTACTAGCAAATCAGAGGTTAAAACTAATCTCACATAAGACACACAGACACATACATAAGCTGCAATTTGTGGTGTTGTTCCTCCTTCACAAGGGATGAAGACCACTGTTCATCCAAAGTAGTAATGATCCATGATTATGAGTACGAAGGTGGCTGATTAGTCCAACATAAGTTTGGAACAGGTGGAAGCAGTAATTAAGTGTGGGATTAGTGATACTTTTCTTTCTAGTCTGCCTCCGTTTCTCTGCCTGTGCAACCTCCGCTGCCTGGCAGGCTGATGCACCATGTTTGAGGGATGTACGCCATTTAGATAGGTCCTGTGCAGCAGCCTCCCATGTTGCCGAGCTGATGCCAACAGAATGGAGAGCAATTTTTAGAGTGTAGCTATAGCTGTTTTTCTGTACTTCTTTGGACCTCTTCCCTTGCTGGAGCTCGCCATAATATACTCTCTTTGGGGGGCAATAGTCTGGCATGCGGACTAGGTGACCAGCCCAACACAGCTGATAATTCTTCAGTATTGTGTGGATGCAATAAGCTGCAATAACAAATGTTATACAATGCAACCTACCTCATACAAACCTTTCATATATATCAGGTATGGGCAAACTATCGCCCGCAGGTCATAACCGGCCTGCCAAACAATATTTACTGGCTTGCAAGGCTGGTGTAAAATTACTGTATAATCTGTCCCTTGAGCTCACACAATAGCAGAACATAAAAACATACTTTTGTAAGCAGAAAGAAAAAATACAAACATCAACACTCAAAACAATGACAAGCTGAATAGTGAAACTATATACAACCAGAAGCTGATATCGCCATATCTTTGATCCTGCTAGTAATAAAACACATCTTGCAGACCAATCCAGACATAAAGCGACTATTCTTTTTCTCTGGTGGCAAGATAATAGATCAAAAGAGCGCAGTAACCTTTTCTTGACATCAATTAATCTGAGGACAGGATCTTAGATTATTCCTGAGGGATTATCGTCAGAGCTGCGAAGTTTGTACTTAGAGTACGGAGACTGAGCCACATGGGATAAAACCCAGTGCAGTGAAGCTGAGCCTCTTAACCCTAACATGTTAGCAAGTGATAAACACACCCCATGGACACACCTTAAAACTGCACAGTCAAATAAAACCAACAACAACAACTGAACCAGAAAACACACCTAAAAAAAACTTCTATTATCTTCACAATAAAAAAAAATAAAAAATAATGTGCTGAAGTCAAAGTCTTTTGGTAGAAATTTAAAAGCAACCAATTCAATGGAGGAAACGTCCCAGAAAACAAACTCACAGGATTCAAATCAAATAAATGCTTTAAAGTAAATAACTGGTACTAATATGGAATGCACTCAAAGTGGCAAGTTTTTCATCGCTGTTTTCCTTTATTAATAAAATCGCAAAGGAAAAATAATTAATATAAAAAGCAAAAACATACTGAGAGTAGAATATATCATTTCTTAGAGATTTTAGTATTCTTATATGTCCCAGGATTCCATCCATTTGAGTCGATGCATCATGCTTCCTTCATCGTTGGCCATCGGCCCAGACATTCCGTACACCAGGGGGTAAAACAGATAAAAGCTGGGGGGAAAAAAACAGATGTAATAAAAATTATTATCCGAAATTATTATCTACTTAAAAAGATAAATATTGATCTACTTAGTGAGAGCGATGAATTATCGCCTACTAGTGATTAGTGAAGAATCATCCGAGCACTCCGTTCAGATCCACAGGTGCTCCAAACTCCTCCTCAGTAGCTCCACAAGCGTGAAACTTCTTCTTTTGTGTTCATTTGAAGGCGTGAATGTATTGTGCCCGTTAACAACATGGCTGCAATATTCACACCTTTTGGCTGATACACTGGACTTCTGCAGGCATTTGCTATCTGTTAGCCTTTCCTGAACCATAAAAATGACTGAAAATGCCAGTTTGTCTTTATTAATCAGCTTTTTTGCATCCTTAGTGGTATGTTCACGTCTGGCTGCTTTAGGCTGCACTTCCATATCCACCAAAATGCTTGTTGTTGTGATCTTCTTCGCAATATACATCGTGCATGGCATAGTCGTCATCACTCTAGTCCAGTGTTGGGCCAGACAAAGTAACTGCCTTGCCGTCAGAAAATCTGCACATTTGCTGCCCAAAGACCCAGAGGGGCTGGCACAAAAAAAAAAGGTTAGGCGAGTTATTAGCGATGCATTTAATGACCGAATCCATTCTTGTCTGAAAAATGTGAGGGGCTGGCACACAAAATAAAGGTTAGGCGAGTTATTAGCGATGCATTTAATGACAGAATCCATTCTTGTCTGAAAAATGTGAGGGGCTGGCACACAAAAATAAAGGTTAGGCGAGTTATTAGCGATGCATTTAATGACAGAATCCATTCTTGTCTGAAAAATTTGAGGGGCTGGCACACAAAAATAAAGGTTAGGCGAGTTATTAGCGATGCATTTAATGACAGAATCCATTCTTGTCTGAAAAATGTGAGGGGCTGGCACACAAAAAAAAAGGTTAGGCGAGTTATTAGCGATGCATTTAATGACAGAATCCATTCTTGTCTGAAAAATGTGAGGGGCTGGCACACAAAAAAAAGGTTAGGCGAGTTATTAGCGATGCATTTAATGACACAATCCATTCTTGTCTGAAAAATTTGAGGGGCTGGCACAAAAATAAAGGTTAGGCGAGTTATTAGCGATGCATTTAATGACCGAATCCATTCTTGTCTGAAAAATTTGACATGACTGTCTGAAGCATATTCACAGAGTCATTCAGTATGCACTTTTTCTTTCCTTCCACTAGTTACTTTATTGAAGTGTTGAGAATGAAGGAACGAACAAACAAACTTTATTTTCAAAGGGTATCAACTGCCTGCAAAATTCAGATGTGTCGCCTAAAAGACACAAATATCACAAGAATGTTGTAAATGGGCTTAAACACATTTCGGTCTTCAGATTATCGCAGAATAATAATAAGTACCGTATTTATGCGCATATAGGCCGCACCCAGTTTCTGAGATAATAATTTTAGGAAAAATAATTTTCTTAGAATTTCAATTTGTAAACGGGCACAACGCAATTACGTCTTCAGATGAACGCACAAAAAGCTTCTTTGCATGTACTGTCAACGTATGTTATTAAAAGTAGGGCAGACAGCATATATCCCTGTTGTACACTTGTATTTGCTTCAAAAAGTCAGGCCTTAATTATTCACCTTCTACAACATGTTTATTAAGGGGAAGTGGATTTGTTCTCTTCTATCTTAAAATGGGGCCATAAAACAGACATGGGGGAGGGTCGGGGATCTAGAAAGTGCTTTTATACAGTGAGGTCTTAAGTCCTTTTTTTTCCAGTCCATCTTATCTTGTGTTGAGCTAGCAAGCCAATAAACAGATACTGATCTTCACACAAAGTAAGAGAGGTATAGATTAAACAGAAGTATAGAGAAACAAAGACACAGAGAAACATAGGTATGGATATACAGAGATATAGATAAACACAGGTACAGAGAAATAGAAGTACAGATAAACAACAGCACAGAGAAATACAGGCACAGAAAATAGGTATAGATAAATAGAGGCACAGATAAGTAGGTACAGATATACAAATTCACAGAGAAACACAGACACAGAGAAACAGGTGCAGATAAACAGAGGCAGCAAAAGAAATATAAAAAAAAAAAGTAAAATAAAGATCCCTTTACACGCCCTTAGGCACATCGGGCATATGGGAAGAGCACCCGTATTTTTACAGACCAATCGGCACTCGGTGGGTAATGTGGTCAGCATTATGCCGGCTGTCTTTACTTCCCCAGGACAGCCATCCTGGTACCCATTTGAGGCTGGGTCGACCTGCGACGTCCCATACCACGATAAAAATCCACGCAGCCAGCAGTGGGTTTCGATCGCAGTACGTTGGATTACGAGACAGACTCACACTGCCTTAGCCATAGACGCCACACAGAGAAATATAGGTATAGATAAACAGAGGTATGCAGATAAATAGAGGCACAGAGAAAACAAAGGTATAGAGTGACAAATGTGTAGAGAGTTCTAGATAAGCAGAAAAACAGAGCATAGAGAAGTGGAAGAAATCACAGAAACATGAGTGTTAATAAAACTATCAAACCTGTACAAGATGCTGCCAGACGTGACAAATAAAAAACCATGGAACATTGTCATTGCCCAGCTCTCTGGAACCGTCACACACAGCAGGGTGATGAGGAAATCCAGCATGACGCCTGAGGGAAAAACAAAGTAAATGAAGAAGGTCCACAACTGGGGGAACAAAAGTCTGGTTTATGAGTATGTACTCAATGCCTCTATGCAGGATCTCATCAACATCAAGTGCCTTGCCAACTGACATGAATGACAGTGCCTCACTACATCCGATGATCTCCAATAGCCTGTATCAATATGTGTTTGGACACTTTTCCATACCATGACAAATGGCTGTCAAAAATATTCCTCTATTTTCCATTTCACAAATTTTTCCCGGATTCAAAAGATGTTCTAGTTTGTCCTTTCTCATAATGAAGTTAAACTCCAAGGATACACAAATTCTTATAGAACAACTCTTTTGTCTCTATAGTTATAATAAAGTTACCAAGTGATAAAGCTTACCAACAAAAATTCTTATAGAATAACTCTCCTGTCTCTAGAGTTACAATAAAGCTACCAAGGGATAAAGCTTACAATAAGAGTTCTTACAGAACAACAATTCTGTCTCTAGAGTTACAATAAAGTTACCTCCAAACATGGCGCTGTACAGAAATGCTGGGAAGTAGTGATGGAAGTACAGCACGCGTGTCATGCCCCAGAAAGGCAGATAGTGCAAAAGCCAACCCAGCAGCAGCCACCAGCACACTTTGAATGTCCTCTCATAGTAAACTGTTAACATAGAGACAAATTTTATGTCATCTTTTCTTTCCTACACTTGTGTGAATGGAATCAAAATTACCACCAAGTTAATCAGGAAATGATCTACTTACTATTAAATGATGATGATATTAAATGATTTTAACCTCTGATTTGCTAGTAAACCTAAAATGGTGTGGAAAAATTATGTTTATCTAACATTGTGTCCTCAACATGACAAGTTTGGAAAGATTTGCTATAAACAAATGATGATGAAGTTCAACTCCACAAAGACATTACACCGAGTGATAAACACCCAGTGACTCAAAGTGCCACCATTTGGATGAGGATCACCTAGGGATAGGTCCCAGAAACCACATTTAACCCATAGGCTGGGTTATATTAGGGATCTCCCAGCAACAACTTTGGCGGGCCTTAAAATAGCAAAAAACTGCGCCCAACACTGGGATGCAGTTATCGCTTCAGTAAGCAAACGCCTGTGCCTAAAATTTAAAAATTAATATTTAGCTAGATTTTCTTGGTTAAAAAATGTTGTATTGGCTGCGGAAAATATTGTAGATCTAATCTCTGTTCAGTTCACAAAAAGTAACTTAGAAGATACTCTGTTTTATGTCATCTTTTCTTTCCTACACTTGTGTGAATGGAATCAAAATTACCACCAAGTTAATCAGGAAATGATCTACTTACTATTAAATGATGATGATGATTAAGATGATGTGTGGAATGATGATGATTACATTGATGATGTTAAAAATGATGAAGATGACACATGAAATGATGAAGAAAGACAATGATGATAATGACGATTATAATGATTACAGTGTGATAAAAATGTCAAGTGACATGATGAGGATGATGATGATGATAAAGATGATTTTGATTATTAAGATGGCAACTGACATGATGATGATGATGATGATTATAATGATGATGTTAATGATGATGAAGATAAGAAGTGATATGACAATGATGATAATTATAATGATGATGTTAATGATGTTTAAGATATTAAAAACTATGATGACAATGATGATGATTATAATGATGGTGTTAAATGTGATTTAGATGACAAGTGATTTGATGATGATGATGTTGATGACTAACATGACAACTTACATGCTGATGATGGAGAGGGCAACTGACATGGTGATGATAATGATGATGTTAATGATGATGAAGATGACAAGTGACCTGACAGCTATGATCACATAAAAAATCAGACTGAAGAAATCAGTCGCAGTACTCACTCCTGAGGTTCTTGTTGATGGGCATATTTCTCTTGCGGCCGACAGAAAATGACAACCACAGGATGAGAAAGACAACTTTGAGCACCAGCAACGTCCAGAAGAAGATGGGATTCCCCAGCATGTAGATTCTGTGGTCTTGGCCCGAGAATATCTGACCCTGGATGATAAAGTAAACATTCAGTTTCACAGTCTCAGTTCCCTGTGTGGGTTCCGGAAGCCAATTTTTTTTGGTGGGGTGGGGGGAGATGACCCATTGCCCTCCTAACAAGCATGTTGTACTGCGCGACTAATTAGGTCAAAGTTCATCTTCCCGAGGGGTGAGCAACCAACAGTCTGTATAGGAATAAGCCAGCTCTGTAAAATGGACGTGCATATAAAAGACCTCCTAAGACCAGAAGAGGACAAACAAGCAGAACTGCCCGCTAGAGTTTACAAAGAGGCGAAGAAAAAGAGATAGTCTTTGGAATCAAGATCATAGATGGAATGCTGTCCGCTAGGCTAAAACAGCTCCCAGTACTTATTTTACAGATAAATAATCTATAATTGATCCACCAATGCCACGAATGTCACAGGATTCCTTTCTCCTTAGTCATCTACCGTATTTCCCAATGTATAAGACAACATACTTTCCCAAATTTGGTGAGTTTAAAATTAGGCCCTCATCTTACACATATTTATTTCTTAATTGTGGGTTTTAAAGTAGAAAAAAAAAAGGGAGCAGGGTGCCGCTTTATACACAACTGCATTGTATACATATAAGCATTTTATACATGGCGAAAAACATGGTAATTCAAGGTCTCTGTGGTAAAGTGCTTAATAAGTTACTTAGTGCTCTAAACATTGTGGGCTTGATTTTGTTGGACTCTGGTTTATGAGCGGGTGTTTTGAAGATCTCTGAGGGTCACTGACTGCGCTGCAGTGTTCATACTGTGTGCAATGCTCTTGCAGACAATCATCTGCCCAGTGGAGAAAGGTCCAGCCATATAGGGCTTAATGAAGACTATCTTTTTTCCTTTTAATAGAATGCTAAGTCCCCATGTAGCAAATCAGCTGAGAGGCAATATCTACCTTACTTTCACACAAAGGAAAAGTCACACAGAGCTGTCACCACTAACCAAAGTACTGCCAGTCTTAGCATCACCTAGCCCTACCTCAGAGCTGTCACCAAAGTCTAAAGTACTGCCAGTCTTAGCATCACCCTAGCCCTACCTCAGAGCTGTCACCACTAACCAAAGTACTGCCAGTCTTAGCATCACCCTAGCCCTACCTCAGAGCTGTCACGACTAACCAAAGTACTGTCAGTCTTAGCATCACCCTAGCCCTACCTCAGAGCTGTCACGACTAACCAAAGTACTGCCAGTCTTAGCATCACCTAGCCCTACCTCAGAGCTGTCACCAAAGTCTAAAGTACTGCCAGTCTTAGCATCACCCTAGCCCTACCTCAGAGCTGTCACCACTAACCAAAGTACTGCCAGTCTTAGCATCACCCTAGCCCTACCTCAGAGCTGTCACCAATATCTAAAGTACTGCCAGTCTTAGCATCACCCTAGCCCTACCTCAGAGCTGTCACCAATATCTAAAGTACTGCCAGTCTTAGCATCACTCTAGCCCTACCTCAGAGCTGTCACCAAAGTCTAAAGTACTGGCAGTCTTAGCATCACCCTAGCCCTACCTCAGAGCTGTCACCACTAACCAAAGTACTGCCAGTCTTAGCATCACCCTAGCCCTACCTCAGAGCTGTCACCAATATCTAAAGTACTGCCAGTCTTAGCATCACTCTAGCCCTACCTCAGAGCTGTCACCAAAGTCTAAAGTACTGGCAGTCTTAGTGTCATCCTAGCCCTACCTCAGAGCTGTCACCACTAACCAAAGTACTGCCAGTCTTAGCATCACCCTAGCCCTACCTCAGAGCTGTCACCACTAACCAAAGTACTGCCAGTCTTAGCATCACCCTAGCCCTACCTCAGAGCTGTCACCAATGTCTAAAGTACTGCCAGTCTTAGCATCACCCTAGCCCTACCTGAGAGCTGTCACAAATGTCTAAAGTACTGCCAGTCTTAGCATCACCCTAGCCCTACCTCAGAGCTGTCACCACTAACCAAAGTACTGCCAGTCTTAGCATCACCCTAGCCCTACCTCAGAGCTGTCACCAATGTCTAAAGTACTGCCAGTCTTAGCATCACCCTAGCCCTACCTCAGAGCTGTCACCACTAACCAAAGTACTGCCAGTCTTAGCATCACTCTAGTCCTACCTCAGAGCTGTCACCAATGTCTAAAGTACTGCCAGTCTTAGCATCACCCTAGCCCTACCTCAGAACTGTCACAAATGTCTAAAGTACTGGCACTCTTAGTGTCACCCTAGCCCTACCTCAAAGCTGTCACCAATATCTAAAGTACTGGCAGTCTTAGCATCACCCTAGCCCTACCTCAGAGCTGTCACCACTAACCAAAGTACTGCCAGTCTTAGCATCACTCTAGTCCTACCTCAGAGCTGTCACCAATGTCTAAAGTACTGCCAGTCTTAGCATCACCCTAGCCCTACCTCAGAACTGTCACAAATGTCTAAAGTACTGGCACTCTTAGTGTCACCCTAGCCCTACCTCAAAGCTGTCACCAATATCTAAAGTACTGGCAGTCTTAGCATCACCCTAGTCCTACCTTGTAGTTAATCAGCCACTCTCAAGGATTTCACCACCCTTGATCATCTAATGCTAAGCCCCCATGTAGCAAACAATTAATGGACTAACTATAAGACAACATTTCAAATGTACAACTACTGGAGTAATTATATTACAACATGTCGAGTGTACTACTACTAGAGTAAAGACATAACTACATGCCAAGAGTGAGAACACTGGAGTAATTATATTACAACATGTCGAGTGTACTACTACTAGAGTAAAGACATAACTACATGCCAAGAGTGAGAACACTGGAGTAATTATATTACAACATGTCGAGTGTACTACTACTAGAGTAAAGACATAACTACATGCCAAGAGTGAGAACACTGGAGTAATTATATTACAACATGTCGAGTGTACTACTACTAGAGTAAAGACATAACTACATGCCAAGAGTGAGAACACTGGAGTAATTATATTACAACATGTCGAGTGTACTACTACTAGAGTAAAGACATAACTACATGCCAAGAGTGAGAACACTGGAGTAATTATATTACAACATGTCGAGTGTACAACTACTAGAGTAAAGACATAACTACATGCCAAGAGTGAGAACACTGGAGTAACTATAACACACATGTAGATATTTGTACTATTTGTACACAAACGAGTTGGCATCTGAGACTTGTGCTGCAAACATGCTTTGTAATGCTAGTGTGCCGGGTTCGATCCCAGCTGCAGGCAGTTTGACAGCAGTATCAAGAGCCAACATTTCAGAAAGCAATGGCAAAATACTGAACGTAAATTTGTCTAGGAAAACCACAACAGCTGAAAAATGCTTGGGTTGGTTCTTCAATGTCCTGTTAAGGATATGCAACTTTAGCTTACACAAACAAAGATTCACAAAGAGCTGTTATTACTGACTTGGTAAATAACATTCCTACCTTGTAATCAACAGGCCACTGCCAGGGATGTGATGTGATTTCTCCCTCCTTGGGTTTCAAACCACTGTTCCCTTGAGTCATCACTGCGTGGCTTTCCAGAAACTTCTCCATGAAGGATGGAGAGTACACTTCAAAGCTGACATTAGGTACTAAGGACAACCAACAAAACTTATGCTCAGCAAGGTCATTCAAGTACATTTGTTAAAATAACAAACTAGGGGGAATTAGAAAACTACAAGGAGCATAAGAGAACTATGAGGGGCACTAGAGAACTATGAGGAGCATTACAGAACTATGAGGGGCACTAGAGAACTTCAAAAAGCATTAGAGAACTATGAGTGGCACTAGAGAACTACGAGGAGCTTTAGAGAACTATGAGGGGCACTACAGAACTACAAGGAGCATTAGAGAACTATCAGGGGCACCTGAGAACTACAAGGAACATTAGCTATAAAGAAAGTAATGTGCCACATAATTTTTTCAGTTAATAATGAGGACAGAAAAAGAAAATTCTGTGTGCTTCCCATTTTAAAATGTCGATATAGTATATATATAAAAATTATTCGAACAAAAAAGAATAGCTGCATTCATCAATCAGCAAGTCCTTTTCAGAACATCACTCTCTTCATGGCACGCCTGAAAGTATTCCTTTCTCTAGCCAGCTCTCCAGCCCCATGTGCTTTCAATGCCAGTGCATCTTCAATGTGCTGTATCCATCTTCACGGAGGTCAGCCCCTGCCTCACCTTCCACAAACTGCACCCTCCATCACCGTCTTTTCCAAGCCATCATAACATTTGATGGGGCCAAAATACTTCAACTTTCGGGTCAGGACGCTGTTTATGAGCCAGTTCTCCTTGATGTTTTACTTATGTAGAATGTTGATTTATTTCCTTTTCTTGATCCATGGTATTCCGAGAACCTTTTTGTAACATTAGCTGCACTAATCTGTTAAAATACAGGGTGAGGAAAATGTGCCATTTCTTCTTCTTCTTCCTCTTCTTACAAACAGCAAATTCTCCTAGAATTTCCAACTGCGGACAAACAAATTGAGGTAAATATTCAAAAATATTTGTAGGCTGTGTGAGGAAGTATTGCAGTCAATAAGAGCACTGAATGTTGGTCACTGGGTTCAAAGAATTAAAGGCTTCATAAAGTAGAAAGATAAACCTGAGAATGTTATCCATGCTGGGAAGAAATGACTTTGTAAAGAGGTAAAATCTGATAAAGACGTGTTTTTCACTGGCACAAAACTTAGTTGTGTATGGAGACAATATAGAAATTTAGGGTGTGTAAAGGACATGATGTGTTATATTGTGAGTGAGTCTCATTCATTCTACACAAACAGTTTAGGAGAAAAAAAATTAAGATTATTACTTTCTGAATGCCCCTCATATAATTTGGTTACATCCTACTATGCCTCTATACAGATGACAAATTCTTGCTCACTCACTGGTTTCCGAGCTAGGAAAGAGACAAAAATTTAACCTAGTTCCAGCAGTGACAGTACCACTACTGCCAAGGACTAAACAACCACCTACTTAACAATCCAAATATAAATAAATTAAGGGAAATGCCTCAAACAAACCAACAGTTTCTACGTCTGACCTACCTAACAATCCAAATATAAATAAATTAAGGGAAATGCCCCAAACAAATCAACAGTTTCTACGTCTGACTCCCTAACAAAAAGAGTATGACTGATGTAAAAGATTAAGAGGAACATCAAAATTACCAATGTTGTTCAGTAAAACCTTGTTAACAGAAACTCGCTAAAGACGAACACTTGGTTTACATGGAAAAAATGTTGGCCCAAGCAGGGATGTAGTATATTCATAATACATCTATTAGTCCCGGGTTAGTGTACATTCACTTAACATGAACTTTTGTGTTTTGGTTCCTTGGAATTCATATTAACAAGATTTTACTATAGTTGACAACATGTAAAATATTCTAACCAGTAATTGTTTTACTGTTTAAAACTGAAGGTAATCAAGTTTTATGTATATTTTTCTGTATGTTATCTCCTAATTAAGCATCAACCCTCTACCAATTAGGACCTAAACTCCTGCTGACATGTTCAGAATCGGTTGCATTTTGCAACTAAAGTTTCCCTTAGGATGCAAATTAACAAATATTATACATATTTTTACAATTACTGCACAAATAAAATGCAGAAATCATTTGTTTTAAAACACTGCAGAAAGGTTGAGAGCTAAGGGTCTGGAAATAAGAACACTAAATTACAGCATCAAGAGTACTGATATCCCATGCTCTAACTGAAGAAGACGTTTCTCAAAGGAGGCAGGTCTTGCTGGTCACACACCCCATCGCCATCGCCTCTGCTGTGATTCCTATGTCTCCCCATTAAACAATATCGTTTCGAAAGACGGAAAGGTGCCAACAACAATAAAACAGCAACTTATACATATTATATAATAAAAGTGGAGGCCGGCGTGATGTTGACCACATAACCCATCTTGTGCCGATTGTCTATAAAAATATAGGTCTAGCCCTTTATGCCCTCTACGCCTAATGGCGTGGAAAGGGTCCTTTACTTTCTACTTATATAATAAAAGTGATTTTTCTACATGTATTCTTCTTTCTCTGAATTTTCCCTCAAAAGACATAAGCTGTGGTTTACAGCCAGATTGTAATACTTGTGATTTTTGCCCAACACATCCAATTTTAGCAAACTTCTCATTAGTTACCTTTTATGACATGCTTGTTAGGGAGCAGTGGGTCTATTCTTTATTTTGTCCTCACAAAATGGACCGTGAAACCAGGAAACAGAAACAATTATCACAGCATACCCATCAGAGATAACAAAAACAAGACATGCAGTGGACTAAACACTACTCCGACCTCTTGAACAGACCTGATCCTGAAAATCCCCCAGATATTCAACCAGCCTCTCAGGACATTGACATTATTACTGAACCACCAAGCAAACAAGAAATCCTTAAAGCTATCCACACTTTAAAGAACAACAAAGCACCAGGCAAAGACGAACTGCCAGCAGAACTTCTTAAAGTAGATCCCAACACAACTGCTAGCATTCTAGAACCATTGTTCAAGGATATTTGGGAAAAAGAAGTGTTGATGACTGGACTGAAGGAACAATAGTCAAAATCCCTAAAAAAGGAGACTTAACAGACTGCAATAATTGGAGGGGAATTACTCTACTCTCAGTACCAAGCAAAATATTTTGTAAAATCATCATAATGCGGCTTGAAAAAGGAGTAGATAAATGCCTACGAGTGGAACAAGAAGGATTCAGAAAGGGCAGAGGAACAACTGAGCACATCTTCGCCATACGTAACATTTTAGAACAATGCAATGAATGGCAGAGAAGTATATATATTAATTTTGTGGACTTTGAGAAAGCTTTTGACAGCATCCATAGAGACGGTCTGTGGAAAATTTTACGACATTATGGAATTCCAGAAAAAATAGTCAACATAATTGCTCTCTTCTATAAAGACTTTTCCTGCAGTATAAAAAATTACATCTTTCCCAGTAAAGACAGGTGTAAGTCAGGGATGTGTTATGTCATCTCTCCTCTTCAACCTTGTGATTGATTGGATACTAAAGAACACAGTAGACAGGACATTAAGAGACATACGATGGACTCCATTCACCATGCTTGAGGACCTTGATTTTGTAGATGATATAGCACTCCTATCACATAAACATGAACATATACAAGAGAAAAGTAACAGACTACACTGCACAGCAGAAATGGTGGGACTGAGAATAAGTACAAAGAAAACTAAGATCATGACAAACAGTCCAAACCAACAACCAGTGACCATAAGTAACCAATCACATGAAAATGTAGAACATTTCACATATCTTGGCAGTGTGGTGTCCCTACTGGGAGGGACACAGGAAGACATACAGTCACGCCTGAACAAAGCTAGAGCTGCTTTTGGAAGGATGAGGCAAATCTGGAAATCCAACAATTACTGCAGAGGAACAAAACTCTGACTCTACAAGAGCATCATTTTGCCTGTTCTTCTTTATGGAGCGGAATGCTGGAGAATGACCAAAAAGGATGCACACAAGCTGTCCACCTTCCACCACACATGTCTACGTAGAATTATAAAAATTTTCTGGCCAGATACAATCTTAAACACTAAACTACTTCAAGCCACAAACCAAGAAACTTTAGACAGTATGATTACCAAGAGAAGATGGAAATGGCTTGGCCACGTTATGAGAATGACTTCTGATATACCTGCCGAAACAGCTCTCACATGGACACCAGAAAGAAAGAGAAAACAAGGGCGCCCAAAAACAACATGGAGATGAACGATGGAAAGTGACCTGAGTGCGACATCTTTGATATGGAAAACTGCACTGAAGATTGCACAGGACAGGAAAGCATGGAAGGTCCTCTCTGAAGCCTCATGTGCCACTAGGCATAACGAGAACTGATGATTGTTAGGGAGCAGTGGGTCTATTCTTTATTTTGTCCTCACAAAATGGACCATGAAACCCACAAAATGACCTACATGCATGAGTAATGAAAATGAATATAACACAACACAATTAACAACAACAAAAATTACATAATAAGAGTAAGCATTACAGACGCCATTTACAACAAATTCAAAGCACATTAACAACAAATTTACATCAAAGTTACAACAAATTTACAATATATTTACAACAACAGAGAAGGCAGCATACATCTAGGATCTATGACCTCCTCCACACTCCAGGCTGAAGTGGTATCATGGAGGTTGGGCTTACAAGTCACCTCAAGCTGCTCCCATCCCCTGAAATGTAGAAATGAGCACTAACCTGCAGAAATGGTCAAGATAATCCTATGGCAGAGATTATCAATCCGGTTCCAAAAGGAAAAACATGGCAAAGATTATCAATCAATCCAGTACCAAAAGGAAGATAATTCCATGGCAGATGTTTCAATCCAGTGCTTAGAGGAAGATAATCCTATGGCAAAGTTTATAAATCAATCCAGTGCACATAGGAAGATAATTCCATGGCAGAGGTTTTCAATCAATCCAGTGCACAAAGAAAGATAATTATAAGACAGTGGTTATCAATCAATCCAGTGCTTAGAGGAAGATAATCCTATGGCAAAGATTATCAATCAATCCAGTGCCCAAAGGAAGATAATTCCATGGCAGATGTTATAAATCAATCTAGTGCTTTGAGGAAGATAATTTTATGGCAGATGTTATCAATCAATCCAGTGCATAAAGGAAGATAATTCTATGACAGATGTTATCAATCACTCCAGTGCACAAAGAAAGATAATTATAAGACAGTGGTTATCAATCCATCTGATACCCAAAGAAAGATAATCCTGTCAAGCTAGCATCATTTTCCCAAGATGCCTCAAGAGGCAGAGATGGCACCTTAGAACATATTCTTCTGGTGATTACAAAATCTGGAGAAGAATTATCCTCCACACAAGTGAACAGTATGTTTTCCTGCATTTTTTTTGCTCCAGTTTAGCATTGGGGTTGCCTTATACATGGAATGTTTTTAAAATATTTCTTAATTGTAGGATTAGGGGACACCTTATACACTGAAAATATGGTAATGGTGACTGTTTTTCCTTAGACCAGACTTTCCCATTTGTTGGCAAGCAGACCACAGGAGTCAACAGAACAAATTTAACAGGTCAGTAAAGTCATTTACCAAAAAACCCTAAACTTTGAAATGCAATCCCTTTTTTGCGCTTTTAATATTTATCATTACATATTTATATTTTCAGTCTGTGTCAGTGGCTTAGGCAGTGCGAATGTGCTTCGTAATGCTGGAGTCAATCCCTGCTGCAGGTGTGATTTAGCAGCAGACCATCTTGTAATGGTTTTGACAGTGGTATCAATAGCTGATCGTTCAGAAGCAATGGCAAACTAGTCAGCGTAAATCTGTGCAGAAAAACCACAACAGCCAAAAAATGCTGGGGATGGTTCTGCGAGGTCCTGTAAAATACACATAACTAACTTTAACAATACTGATAAATTTTAGAAACTTCTTCAGTGCAGCCATTAAAAAGTATGTGGTCCTGGCAGATCTTTGAAAATAAGAGGGTCAGCATGTCTTAGCTAACTGGGCACCACTATTCTAGACTATGTTGATTAGCTGCTGCCACTCCTCTGGGCAGTGAGCTGCTATATGATAAAGCAGTTGTGGTGAAGGCTTTCTGGGATCAAATGGACAGTGCAACAGAACAGAGAAGATACACACTGAAGGACTAATTTGGGGGGGGGGGGGGGGGTGTTACATATAATAGAGGTTCTGGAACGTATTCAACACTGAGGGGGTAACAAAGGCTGACGTTTAATCAGACTGCAACTGGTATATGTCGACTCTTCGTTGGTTACTTAAGAAGGGAACGGAGCAAGTTTCTGAATACCCTAAGTGCAGCGATGTCAATTCTTGATTCATTCATTCAATCATTTTTTTACTGTTGATACTCTGAAGCTAAACATAACAGTTTTTCAAAGGCAGAAAGATTGACTTCACTGCATCAGGTTTTGATCTCCTATGGCTTGGTATCTCACTGCACAACAGTGGTTCATTCATCGAACACAGCACAAATCTCCACAGTTCCAGAAACAACCCTCAAGAATCTCCTAAACATGTGCACTCATGAACTAAAGGGCGGAGTCTGAAAATGAACCCACAATCTACAAAGCACAAGGCTAATGCCCCAACCTAGGGAGACTCACAAATCTAATTTCTTGGCACCTTTCCAGATGAAAGAGTAATACAGAGGCATGGGAATGACAAATGATTCACAGCGGTGGCAAGGCCAGGGATGAAGTTCCTCCTCTCTAAAGGGCAACGCCTGGGCAGTACTGCAGAATCCATGTGTTGTCTATGATCCCTCTCTCAATGTGCCTTGTTTACCTTAAAAGGAAAGGTAACGCCAGTACATTTGAAACAAAGCAAGCTATATAAGCAGTCAGAACACAACAGAAATGCTCTCTCTGTCAAAACTTCCCTCCTAGACCTGCTGCAACAAATCTAAACATAAATCATAACAATCAACATACAGACTACAAAACATACGTCAAGTAGGACACCAATGTCTGCAATTCACCAACCATTTTGGAAGTTTTCTGTCATGAGAATGCAGCAAACATCTGGCATGGTAGTGGATAAATTTGATCTTTGACCTTACAGTCTGAACTTTGTCACCTCTGCTGGCTCCCTCTACCTCCACCATCCAGATATCGTTGGCATCTCCTGTACCATTCTGAAAATATGACAAACATAAAAGCAGATGAAGACACTGCTCAATAATATCATGAATTAAAATATATCAAAATAGGATGCTATAAAATATGTGATGGTGTTATAAAATGGTTCCCGGGAATGATAACCGGGTCAACAAATGCCTGCAGAAGTCAGATGTGTCGGTAAAGAGGCACAAATACTTCAGCCCTGCTGTAAACGGGCATATATTTGGATGAAAGCAGAAGAAGAAAAACAAATGTTATCCATACTCATATTTTGCAATTTTTACTTTTCTTCTTGTTATGGTATCACAACCGATGTCATTGCACATTGGGCATTCCCATGGATGTTCAGTGCTCTGATGCAGCAGCCACTCCAAGGTACCTCTACTGATTGTTCCCATTAGGAGCTGGTTTTAATGTCTCCTATCTCGGCCTGGAAGGTGACACAGATGTGCTTCACCATGCTTTACTCCCAAGTCATACAACTGTGTTAGTGTCAGAGACTCATCTTTTCCCATTAACCTAGTTGGTCAGCACTGATGACATCTGCTCTGTTCATGCTTCTTCCCACACATGTTGGGTGCTTTACTTGCAAGTTGCTCCGCTTGTTTGTTATCTTTCAAGCCAGTATGACCAGGTGAATAGATCCAGATGAGAGAGGTTAAGTGCGATTTTCGAATGAAAACTTTTCTTCTTCTTCGGTAATTGTTTGCTATGCCTCACTTTCAGTATAGAGCACAAACAGGACAGTGTGCTTGTGATCTTCACACTAGTTCCGCACAGTATTTTGTGTGTGTGGTGGAATTGCTTCTGTGGGCAAGATTTTTCTCCCTCTGAGTGGTAAAACATGGGTAAGCTTATAAGACATGCTCTGGAGTCACTTTGGTACTCGACATTCACATTTGGCAGTCAGTGGGACACATCTGATGAAGGTGTGTTCTAAGTGTACAGTGTCCTGCTATGAGTCTGGTAAATGACAACGACTAAATTGAAAGAATTAAATTTTGGTGGCACCCTTTACATGGCAGTGGTGCATCGGGTATATGATGCTAGTCTTATATTTTTATAAGAACGATTGGCACTCTGGTTATGTGGTTAACAAAGCTACTTTTACAGCACTCTGGTTATGTGCTCAACAAAGCTCCTTTTACTGCACACTGGTTATGTGGTCAACAAAGTTACTTTTACTGCACTCTGGTTATGTGGTCAACAAAGCTATCTTTACTGCACTCTGGTTATGTGGTCAACAATGCTATCTTTACTGCACTCTGGTTATGTGGTCAACAAAGCTAGATTTACTGCACTCTGCTTATGTGGTCAACAAAGCTAGATTTACTACACTCGGGTTATGTGGTCAACAAGGCTACCTTTACTGCACTCTGGTTATGTGGTCAACAAAGCTACTTTTACTGCACTCTGGTTATGTGGTCAACAAAGCTAGATTTACTGCACTCTGGTTATGTGGTCAACAAGGCTACTTTTACTGCACTCTGGTTATGTGGTCAACAAAGCTACTTTTACTGTACTCTGGTTATCTGGTCAACAAAGCTACTTTTACTGCACTCTGGTTATGTGGTCAACAAAGCTACTTTTTACTGCACTCTGGTTATGTGGTCAACAAAGCTACCATTACTGCACTCTGGTTATGTGGTCAACAAAGCTACTTTTACTGCACTCTGGTTATGTGGTCAACAAAGCTACTTTTACTGCACTCTGGTTATGTGGTCAACAAAGCTACCATTACTGCACTCTGGTTATGTGGTCAACAAAGCCACTTTTACTGCACTCTCTTTGTGTGGTCAACAAAGCTACCATTACTGCACTCTGGTTAGGTGGTCAACAAAGCTACCATTACTGCACTCTGGTTATGTGGTCAACAAAGCTACTTTTACTGCACTCTGGTTATGTGGTCAACAAAGCTACCATTACTGCACTCTGGTTATGTGGTCAACAAAGCCACTTTTACTGCACTCTCTTTGTGTGGTCAACAAAGCTACCATTACTGCACTCTGGTTAGGTGGTCAACAAAGCTACCTTTACTTCCAAAGAATTCTAAATGGCACCCATTTTATGCTGGGTTGACCAGGGAGCCAAGGTCATTTTAAAATAAATATGGGCTTTCCTCCGAATAACGGTCCTAAATTATCGAGGCGGAAAATATACCCTAACAGAGCCTCAGTCACGTGTCAATTGCGCACTTCCGGGGACTATAGCGCCACCGCCGAATTGCGAACTTCTGGCAACTTCCGCCACCGCTGAGAGTATCCCCCACGCCACTCACGCGGCGTGGATTGGGGCTAAACTAGATGGCTAGGACTCACAAGCAAAAAAAAAATGAAAGAAGCTTCAGGAGATGCAGTAGCTGCTACTCGTGAGTCCCAGCCATCTAGTTTAGCCCCAATCACGAGGCGTGGGGGATACTCTCGGCGGTGGCGGAAGTCGCCAGAAGCGCGCAATTTAAGACGACGGAAGTACGCAATTGACATGTGACTAAGGCCCTGTAAGGGTATATTTTCCGCCTCAATAATTTAGGAAGGTTATTCGGAGGATAGCCCAAATATGACTTAACACTAATTCAAACCCAAAGTCTTTGGGCTGGCAGGCGAGCACCCAGCTGCTACGCTTCCATGGATCCATAAATAATTAATTAACGTGAGTATATAATATCTTCTCCACATGTAGGTTACGCTGCTCCATCATGAAGGTTACGCTGCTCCATCATGAAGGTTACGCTGCTCCATCATGAAGACTAAAGAACAGACCCACTGCCCCCAGAAAGGAGGTGACTAATTAGAGTTCATCTGCTTGAGAGGCAAGGAAACAACATGTATGCAAATAAGACAGATCTGTAAATTAGATATACATGGAAAATTTAAGTTCTGGAACAGGATCAAAGACCAGAAGTGGACGAACAACCAGAAAATTCTGTCAGAGTTGGCAGCCAGTGAAAGCTAAGAAGAAGGTATTCAATCTTCACAGTAACAGGGCACGTTTCCCTGGGTGCCAGCTTGGAAAAAAATAGTGTTCTTGTGGTTTTCAGACAGTGGTATCAAAGTTGCAACATGAAAGGATGTTCTTGTGGTTTTCAGACAGTGGTATGAAAGTTGCATCATGAAAGGATGTTCTTGTGGTTTTCAGACAGTGGTATGAAAGTTGCATCATGAAAGGATGTTCTTGTGGTTTTCAGACAGTGGTATAAAAGTTGCATCATGAAAGGATGTTCTTGTGGTTTTCAGGCAGTGATATGAAAGTTACATTGTGAAAGGGTGTTCTTGTGGTTTTCAGATAGTTGTATCAAAGTTGCATCATGAAAGGGTGTTCTTGTGGTTTTCAGACAGTGGTATCAAAGTTGCATCATGAAAGGGTGTTCTTGTGGTTTTCAGACAGTGATATGAAAGTTGCATCATGAAAGGGTATTTTTGTGGTTTTCAGTCAGTGGTTTGAAAGTTGCATCATAAAAGGGTGTTTAGGTAGTTTTTAGTCAGTGGTATGAAAGTTGCATCACGAAAGGGTGTTCAGGTGGTTTTCAGACAGTGGTATGAAAGTTATGTCATGAAAGAGTCTGGAGCTTCACCAGTTAATATTCACAAAAGCACTGGGTACACTGCAGCCAACAACCTCCAATGTGCAGAAGGGGAACAGAAAATCACACAAATGTAAAACAGGGGCAATACGGACTCAAACACACAACCTGGCCATATCCCGAGACTTGGAAATGGTGTCTGCTGATTGGTGCCGGCTCTTTGTGACTATGCAAGTTGCGACGGGTCCTATTGAAGAAAAGAAAAAAAAAATAGCTATAGTACATGCATGAATTCAAGACTGTATGACTGATTCGCCTTTGTTTCTCTTAACTCTTTCTGTTCTAGACTATTATTATATTAATCGACATAGCTTAAACTTATTATTTTTATTATGTTTATATTGTTCAATTAATTATGGCTAGGTGCATTCGTCTATAAAATCTTAATTATTTGAACAGGCGGGCATATCTGAGAGTTGTTCACTTCAGTTCAAAGGATTCATATGTTCACTTCACTTCAAAGGATTCATATTTTTTTTCTTCTTCTTCTTCGCGTACACTAGCTGTAAACTCCGGCAGAATGTTCTGGTTGTTCATCCACTTTCAGTACTGTTCCAGAACCTGAGTGTTGCGTGTGCATCCCTTTTACAGATCTGACTCATTTGTATGCACAGTACTGGTTCCATGCCTCTCAGGCAGATGCATGCCAACTTCGAAAGAAGCTCTCAATTAGTCCACTCTTATGACATGCTTTTGGGAAGGCAGTGGGTCTATTATTGGTTTTCCTATAACAGGGCCTCAGAACCCACACAGGGTGATTCATATGTTCACTTCAGTTCAAAGGATTCATATGTTCACTTCAGTTCAAAGGATTCATATGTTCACTTCAGTTCAAAGGATTCATATGTTCACTTCATCTTATTTGTTTCTGGAGTTTGGATAAATTAAACTAAATAAACACTATAATGGTTTATAGAGAACAGTAATGGAGGGTTCGGTTCCTGAATCAACAACCCACCCACACTAGAGGATGGGTTACTTCGTAACCTCCTTGTGGTGCCCTAAGGTCAGCGTGCTATATGGCTATACTATTGTACAGGGTTTCCAGGATATGTACCTGTGTGATTCTCATCCTTGAGATGGTAAACCTACAGAATGAAAATCTCGAGGGAGAAAACATTTAATAAAAGAAGAAGAAAAAAATAAGGGGGTTATCCTCCGAATAACGGCCCCAAATTATCGAGGCCTAAAATATAACCTGCAGGGCCTCAGTCACATGTAAATTGCGGACTTCCGGTGACTTAAATTGCGGGTTTCCGGCGATTACCGGCACGGGTGAGAGTATCTCCCGCGCCGGGGCTTAAGTAGATGCCTGGGACTCACGAGCAAATAAAATGAATGAAGCTGCAGGAGATGCGGTAGCTGCTGCTCGATTTACATGTGACTGAGGCTCTGTTAGGGTATATTTTCGGCCCCGATAATTTGGGACCGTTATTCGAAGGATAGCCAAGAAGGGCTTCCTGAATGAAGATTCACAGGTCAACCAGCTTGACAGTAGACAACAGATATCAAGGACACCCTGGATGGGAAAATTTACAAGGTGGGACAGTTGTCAGAGGATCAAGTGGCTTTCTGGTGTGCCATGATAAGGAAAATGTTCTGCAAAGGATCTGCTACAAGATGACTGGTATGCATCTAAAGAAATACAGCAAAATATACCAGGCAATATAATATATTAGGCAATATACTTTTCATAACAGATAACATACGCAATATGCTCAAGACGAACAAGATCTCCGCTGTGCAGGTAAAGAAGATCTTCACTGGGTGCCAGTTCTCTGTCTGCTGGTTTGATCTTCCACTTGTTATTCTCATCCTTGTGACTGTATGTTGTTACCTGTGCAGAGATAATTAAACCAGCGTTGTCCTCATTGCCTAAAACTGCTAATACCTTCTAAGTGACACTTTCAGTGTAATATGGCAGATAACAAGACCAAACATGTTGGTCTTGGCAAACTATTTGCATCTGGCCATTGTTTGCTGTTGCAGTTTTCCCCATATGTGGTCTCAAACTTTATACTTCCATCATCCAGCTACTGAGGCGAGTGCACAGTGCGACAATATGACCTGTGGATTTAATTTTGAATGCTTTTTTGACTGTGCCTTATGGTGGTTTGTGTTGTGAACCATGGATTCTGAAAACGGCAAGAGGTCTGTTGCCATAGAACTAGTGGTGCTTTATGCGATATTGTGCATGTAACTGCTGATTTACTGCAAATGCTGCTTCCACTTTTAATGACAAATTGCAACTCTAGTGGCAGACTCCTTGTAATGATACCAGGTGTAGGTTTAGGCGATGGATCCACATTATGGCACAAGGGTAGGTAGTAACCTATAGATGCTCCGTTCTACTTCTGACTCAAGCCAGAGTCTGAAAAATCTCAGCGGACTGCATGAGCTCCATAGCACCAGCGAGGATCCTGAGATACTCTGGGTAAATTTTTAACTCCACTGTTTGCCCAGGCAGCGCCGCTAGGCTACTCTTTTCAATCTCCAACTACCAAGGGATTTTTTACGTGTGCAACAATACATACGGGCATCCGATCTTACTACCCAGAGACCAGGGGAAATTACTAAAAGTCCACATGAAAAAATACCAGCCTTCACCGGTGCTTGAACCCTGGACCTCCAGCACTCAAGGCGGACACCAAGTCTTGAGCCCCATAATGATACTTTTGACTGCAATGAGTGCCAGTCCTAGACTTCAACCCCAGCCTGGAGGACCAATAACTTGTAACATATACCGTTGGTAGTTTAAGCAGTTTATAGTTCTATGAAAAAGTTACTAATCAGTCAAGCAATTAACAGAAAAGTGACTTAGGCTAACTAACAAAACCATTTGGAATTCAACCAATCATCTGCTTTTTAAAGAATACAATAAAGTTAAGCAATAAATTTTTTAACAGACAAACTCAAACAATCAAAAAAAAATTTATGGAGCCATCAGTTGTTTTATCAATGTGGTTGAGTTGATTCAAGAACCGACATCACAGCACACAGGGCCTTCCCATAAGCTCTCGGTTCCCATCTTCAGCAGCCAGCGCAGACTTCCCATACCAATGGTTCCAGTAGCATTCCTTTTATACATCCATCTTGCCTTTCCTGAGCATCGAGTACCAGCCAGATTCCCTCGTCACTCCCTGCTGCATCAATCTCACAAGACTGTGGTGATCCATTTGCTCCTCCGAATTGTACATATTCTCTCACAAAGTCCTAACCACATCTGCCTTATGCATGAATATTCCACCAAGTTCTGCAGAGCCAGCCAGTCTGTGCACCTGTTCCTTTCCCGACACACCGGCATGCATCAGTCTAGTAAATCAGCCATCCAATAAACTATCAAACAACATGAAATGAACCAATCAAACAGCTAAGAATTCAACCAACCTGCTGCTGCTTGGGAGGATACTCTTCTGGATAAAGATGAGCATGAGAATGAAGATAAGCCCCTCCGGTTCGCCGCTGTTTCAAAGTTATCACACTTCCAAAAGCTACGTCTGAAAAGTTATTCAGATAACTGATAAAAGATTCATAATGCAGACACAATCATTCATGTAGTCTTTTGTTCCCCATGTGGGTTGCTGGGCATTTTGTCACACAAACAAACTAATCTGGGGTATTTCCTCCAAAGTTGAAATGCATCTGCCTGAGAGTCAAAGAACAGTCTGCATACAAATAAGCCAAATCTGTTAAATGGATGTATATGCAAAATGCGCGTTCTGGAACAAGATCAAAGCCCAGAAGTGGATGAACGACCAGAACTTTCCACTGGAATTCACAGCCAGGTAAGGTCCTGGGAAATAAAGGCACCCTGCACGATGCTGACAACATCACCCACCGAGTGCTGATTGGTCTATAAAATATGTCTAGCCCTATATGCCTAAAAGGCCTGAAGGCATGGAAAAGGGTCCCCTTTTTTTTAAACAGGCAGTGAAGGTTAAGCAGAAGATTGTCTTCCCTTTGTGATGCAGGGCTGTGGAAGCTCTTCTCCGTCTTCTTATCCTTTTCATTCTCCCTGCCTGATGCTTTCAGATAAGAAGACCACAGGCTTCAACAAAAGTTGTGGTGCGACACACGTCCTCCACTAATCAATACAGTAATGTTTTAATGTCTGCCCCAGGAGTGAACTCTATAGGGTTAAGGATCTCAAGGATAAGAATGAAATAGATATAAATCCTGGAAAACTCGTTCAACTGTTTAATAGTTATACCGGGGCAACCTATGGTTACGACGTAACCTGCCGTCCATTGTTAGGATGGCTAACTGCCATAAAGCTTGGTTTCCACCAGAATGCTTACTGGCCAGATCCAGGATATAAAGTATGTAGAGCACATATTCAGTATTCTGTGATGTCTGCCCAAAAGGGCAAAGTTCAGAGTCATCAATCTTGAAATTTTTTTTCTTCCCCAGTCAATGGATCTGTTCATGCAATGAAATTTGGCAGTTTATCTCTTTATCTGCTCGGCTCGCTAGCGTAGTTGGCTAAACCAGACTTAACAGCGACCGAGTGACACCTTGTGGTCCCGGTTCACGCCCAGGGGTAGGCAGAAAAGCTACATTTCTCCCAATTATGCAGTATTTATCATGGAATGAAGGCCGAATGGTTGCGATATCCATAGTACTGAGCCAAAGGGTTGACAACTCATGGTTTCTAGATATTGTTTAAAAAAAACAAATTTAACATATATTTTTTTTTAAAAACAATCTTTTTATCTCCACCTGATCTTTTTATTTTTTAAAGTTCAAATTCTTTTCATGTATGTGTGCGTGTGTATATGTGTGGGATGCTTGTGTATATCATACAATTAAATGTTAACTGTGTATGCGCTCAGTAGTCTTATTATTACCGATAAATAAATGTAACATAAATAATTTTGAAAGTATAATTCCTGACTGAACAATGAGTGGCTGAAAGGGTGGAATGTGAGAATCAGAACCTTAGACCTCTCTTAATACACAAAATATTAAAGGAAGAAATATGAAGAAGAAAAAGAAGAAGAAGAAGAAGAAGAAGAAGAAGAAGAAGAAGAAGAAGAAGAAGAAGAAGAAGAAAAAGAAAAAGAAGAAAAAGAAGACGAAGAAGAAGAAGAAACAAAGAAGAAAAAGAAGAAGAAAAGAAGAAAAAAAAGCAAAAGAAGAAGAATATCCTGGTTTAACCATCTCAGATAAAGGGGGTAAAAAAAAGATAGGAAGACCCGAGTGCCCGCTTCTGACATAAGACATCTTGAGTCAATAAAAATGTTGAAATGCACTATTCTAACAAATATTTTTACAATCAGATTAGCTAGTCATGATAAACTATTTATCTCTTATTCATTCTTTCTATTATGTGAAAATAAAAGACAAGGATAAAATGTGACTTTACTTTTCAGAAAATACACCTATGGGCTAGATTGATCTTCTTCTTCAGCATTCAGAGTCCTTGAGGTTCATTGCTGCAGATATCAGCCGAATCCATTCATCTTTTTGGTTGGCCTTCTCTTTCTATCTTCTTCTTGGTGTGCCTCGTGGTCTACGACCATTCATGTCCCTTGTGTATACAGTTTTTACTTCTCTGTCTTAGATATCTGTTTTGTGATGAAATATATGTATGTATCCTTTTCCCCCCTTTATCTTAGATAGTTATACCAGGATATTCTTCTTTTCCTTCTTTCTTCTTTTCTTCTTCCTCTTCTTCGTCATCTTCAAATTTCTTCCTTTAATGTTTTGTGTATGCTAAATTTATGGTGGAGTAAAAAATTAAAGTACACATTTTCTTGCCTTTAGGAATATAGCTATTGTGTGGTTTTTCTAGGCAAATTCACATCCAGTAGTTTGCCACTGCTTTCTGGACAGTCGGCTCCCTGATACCACTGTCGAAACCAAGGCGCATGGCCCGCAGCTGAGTTTTTTTCCCTCCATTTTAAAGCACTCAAGATAGGCATAAGAGACAAAGAATGATTTGCTTACACTGAGGCATGCTAACATTATACAGTTTATTTCCAATCAGCTGTGACTGAAACCCTGAGCTGAAGAAACCATCACCATTACCACTGAGAAAGACAAATATTCAAAAATATAAATTAATAATTATTCACTTTCACATCACAATTTCAACATGTAATTAAAACACAACACTAGATTTTCTTTCAATGCCCTACTGGTGCAGCAATCAATCTTATTTCTTCTTTTGTCATCACAATGTTAGAGAGTGTTTGCCCTGTATTGTAGTTTCCTGTATTTGCCTTGCTCTTCTCCAGCAGTCTGAGTTATGGATTTGTTCATCTGTTTGCACATAAGCATGACATGCCGTCTTCGAGGCCAAGACAGGAGGCATAATAACAAACTTCTCAGAGAAAAATCAACAGAAGTACTGTGCAGTGGCTGCTGCATTGCAGGACTCAGTAAGTATGGGAATGTCCAATGTGCAGTGATGCTGACAGTGATATATTTTTTTTTTTTGCATCAACTCTTCATTTTTCTTTGTCTCATGATAAAAATAACAGCACTGAAGCAGAACAACAAGAGAACAGTGACAAACATAAGAGCGCTCAAACAAACATGATAACAGGTACAAACATAAGAGCACTCAAACAAACATGATAACAGGTACAAACATAAGAGCACTCAAACAAACATGAGAACAGTGACAAACATAAAAGCACTCAAACAAACATGAGAACAGTTACAAACATAAGAGCACTCAAACAAACATGAGAACAGTGACAAACATAAAAGCACTCAAACAAACATGAGAACAGTTACAAATATAAGAGCACTCAAACAAATCTTGAGAACAGTGACAAACATAAAAGCACTCAAACAAACATGAGAACAGTTACAAACATAAGAGCACTGAAACAAACAAGAGAACAGTGACAAACATAAAAGCACTCAAACAAACATGAGAACAGTGACAAACATAAGAGCACTAAAACAAGCATGAAAGCAATGACAAACATAAGAGCACTAAAACAAACATGAGAACACTGACAAACATAGAAGCACTCAAACAAACATGAGAACAATGACAAACATAACAGCACTAAAACAAACATGAAAACAGTTACTAACATAAAAGCACTAAAACAAACATTAAAACAGTTACAAACATAAGAGCACTAAAACAAACAAAAGAACAATGAAAAAACAAAACAGCACTAAAACAAACATGAAAATACTGACAAACATAGGAGCACTGAAAAATGAGAACAGTGACAAACATAACAGCGCTAAAACAAACTTGAGGGCAATGACAAACATAAGAGCAATGACAAACATAAAAGCACTCAAACAAACATGAGAATAGTTACAAACATAAGAGCACTCAAACAAACACAAAAACAGTGGCAAACATAAAATGCACTCAAACAAACATGAGAACAGTTACAAACATAAGAGCACTAAAACAAATAAAAGAAAAATGAAAAAACATAAGAGCACTAAAACAAACATGAGAACACTGACAAACATAGAAGCAATAAAACAAACATGAGAACAATGACAAACATAAAAGCACTAAAACAAACATGAAAACAGTTAGAAATGTAAAAGCACTAAAACAAACATGAAAACAGTTACAAACATAAGAGCACTGAAACAAACAAAAGAACATTGAAAAAACATAAAAGCACTAAAACAAACATGAGAACATTGACAAACATAGGAGCATTAAAAAAATGAGAACAGTGACAAACATAACAGCACTAAAACAAACATGAGGGCAATGACAAACATAAGAGCAATGGCAAACATAAGAGCACTAAAACAAACTTGAGAGAAATGACAAACAACAGCACTAAAACAAACATGAGAGCACTAAAACAAACTTGAGAGCAATGACAAACATAAGAGCACTAAAACAAACATGATAACAGTGACAAACATAGGAGCACTCAAACAAACATAAGAACAATGACAAAGATAAGAGCACTAAAACAAACATGAGAAAAGTGACAAACATAGGATCACTAAAACAAACATAAGAGCACTAAAACAATCATGAGAACAGTGACAAACATAGGAGCACTAAAACAAACATGAAAGCAATGACAAACATAAGAGCATTAAAACAAACACGAGAACAACGACAAACATAAAAGCACTAAAACAAACATGAGAACAATGACAAACATAGGAGCACTATAACAAACTTAAGAACAATGACAAACATAGGAGTCCTAAAACAAACATGAGAGCAATGACAATCATAGGAGCACTAAAACAAACTTGAGAACAATAACAAACATAGGAGCACTAAAACAAACATGAGAACAATGACAAACATTGGAGCACTAAAACAAACTTGAGAACAATGAGAAAAATAGGAGCACTAAAACAAACTTGAGAACAATGAGAAACATAGGAGAACTAACACAAACATGGGAACACTATGTAAAATAAGTGGAGTAATGGGACCTTTTCACACCAGTGGAGCAATGGCATATGATGCTAGACCCGTATTTTAGAAACCAATCAGATATCGAGGAGTTATGTGGTCGAAATCACGCTGGCCGCCTTCACTCCCCAGAACTTTCCCTGTTACCAATTGTAGGCTGGGCTGACCTGGGAGCAAAAGTAATTTTTTTAAATAATCTGACTTGATGCAGATTTGAATCCAAGACATTTCGGCCAGCAGGCGAATCATCTAGCCACTACACTGCAGCTCCTTAGAACCCTATGACAAACATAAAACACTGCACACACAAAACTGTAAACCATTTAACTAATTAGGAACAAATATACCTTAGAATAAACATGCTATATATCCCACTCAAACAACCAGATGCAGGATAAATTAAACATACCTAAATAAATAGAGAACGCAAAAGTTAAGCCTAAAAATCAATAGGGAAAAGACGAATGCTCCCCTGGGGAATAAAGAGAAGAAGGCGGGAAAAAAAGAAGAAGAAGAAGAGGAGGAGGAGGAGGAAGAAGAAGAAGAAGAAGAAGAAGAAGAAGAAGAAGAAGAAGAAGAAGAAGAAGAAGAAGAAGAAGAAGAAGAAGAAGAAGAAGAAAAGAGGAGGAAGACCATGCGGCGATGACGACGACAATGATGAGGAGGAGGAAAAGAAGAAGAAGAATAAGTCAAAATCTAAGACAGAAAACTTCTTTACTAACCTGCGATTCAAAACACGGAAATGTACTGCAAAAATGATCATGTAGATTAATGCCGGTAGAGCAATGAGACAGATAGCTCTAGCTAAAATATGTTTACACAGAACCATCTGGAAAAAAAAAAATATAGGTAACAGCCTTTAACACTGAATAGAATGATATAAAACATTCAAATGAGAAACAATTAATATCAACAGCAAATAAACAGGTAAAGATAATCCCTTAAAGAGAATCAAAGACAGATGTCTTCTTCTTTTCCTCTTTATCACATCGAAGTGTTGCGAGGGAGGGGGGGGGGGGGGAGAGGGGTGCATATTATCTATTGTGGTGTATAAGCTGATCTTCAATTTTTGTAAGGCTATTATTGAAACACTCTTCAAGGACCACTCATTCACAGACTTTTTTGTTTTCATCACATATAAAAATATCTGTCAATTATGCCAAACTCGCAATTAATAGTCAAGGGGAAAAAATGTGTCATAAAGTGCTACTGGAAGGGTGAGAAAGTCACTGAAGTGCAAAAAAGATTTAGGCGACAGTATAATAATGCTCCCCCAGTGTTGTGTACCACTGCTCACATTACAAAGAAGTTTGAATTTAACGGAACTGTTCACGACATCCATAAACATTTTGGAACACCCTGAACATCCACCAGTTCAATAACAGAAGAAAAACTGGCCGAAGTCCTTAATCAATCCCCAAGAAAACGTATACAACAATCGGGTCGTGAAATAGGAATTTCAGAATCAACCATCCAGTATTTCCTCAACCGCTAATCATTAGTCTGGCATTGCTGAATAATACTTTGATTCGTAACAAGAAAAAGTTTGTGAGTGAGGGCTCGATAAAGGGTGAGTATATTCTAGAGACACCTGGTACAAAGTTTCTTGATAGATGTCACTCCATCATAATTCTAGTTTTTAACTGCATACAAACGATTCTTTAGAAACATAATATGATGGTTTAAAAAAAACTCATGACTGCCTGTATGTAGCTCTGAAGGACAAAAGGGTCTTGAGTCTTAGGAATTAGGGCCATATGGCCACTGCAGTTGTCACCGACTGTGCAGGTTAGGATGTTTTATGTTTTACCCTGAGAGAGAAAACCTCCATTATCTTACCGAGGATAGAATCCAAGTCTCTTGCAAGAAAGCTCAGCCTTCTAACCATCTGACCAGCAATTTCTCTTCTCAAACTTTGATAGTTTCCCCTGGCTAATTTTCTATCGTTTGTAAGCTGTCACTACATTTTAAAGAGTAAATTTTTCCTCATAACAGGTCTTAAAAATCTTGACTTTTTCTTCTCATTGTCCCTCCTTATGCTGCCTATTATTTCCCAACATTCTCTGTACTTCTTATTGGTTCTTTCGTAATAAGTCCCCACTCCCCAGATGAAGTCAATGGGACAGTTCAATATATTATAGGGTGTAAGACCGGGTTTCCCGGCTTTGTGGTGCTTTTAACTACCCCAAAACACCTAGAACTAGACCTAACCCCAATTTACCCACAAAAGAGTGCCGCTTAGGTCCTACGACTGCATGCAGCCTAGGTCCCACGACTGCATGCAGCCTATCTACCACCCCCTGAAATATTGGACTGTCTGCTTAGGGTAAATAAAAACTAAAGCACCTTCTTATTTTGAGAAGAGAACACCATACCTGCTTAAGCACATCTTAAACTAAGAGCTCTGTAACTCATACACACTGTGCAAGGTTAACTTCTAGAGCTAGATTCCATTTAAAGAAGGAGTAACTTAATGATTTTTCACACCGTTCTGGCTGTACCAGGACATCTGTCTTTTAGCACACCCTTTGTAACCTGCAACAGTTCTGGGATTGTTAGTGTATACATGTGTGCATGAATCATCCACCCAGAACATGTTTTTTTTAACCCTATGCATAAAAATTCTAAGTACCCAATACCAAAAAGGCTAACACAGACAACCAACATTCAATGAAGTTGGATGTGTCAACAAAAAGTCATAAATAGTGTAGCTTTGCTGTGTACAGGTACAATGCAATTATACCACTTTGACGATGATGAAGAAGAAGTACCCAATCTCACTACCCAAGAAATTAAAAACAAATTGGCTTCTCTATTGCACTACACCCCCGACCCCCTTCCTGAATAATTTGAGAATCCCTGCATTAAAGGATGCCCCTCATTGTAAGAACTCTTACCACAGGCAGAGACAGGTCTCCAAGCAACCTCCACAAGTCCATGGCTGTAGTGTAGCCCACAAACAGGATGACAAACAGACCCACAAATTTCACACTGTGGAGGGACAATGAAGCAAATATAGCTCCAAAATGGCAAGAACTCTTTAGGGTAAAAGTATTAAATATGAACATCCCTGTGACGTTTTCACAACGAAGGTCCGCTACAGCGTACTACTATTGACTTTGGCAATATTATGTGATGAGGCCCCAATCTGTTCCATGGTGTGACTCTCGTAACCCTATCCAAAATCCACATCTACCATGGGGTATGAACCCTAGTACTTAAGGATCGTGAAATTTTAAACTGCATTTGCTAAACTTTAGGCCACAGAGATGCAAAACAATGTTGGCCAAGACAAAGAGAAAATATCAGTAAACAAGAGCAATAAGGTGGTCAGGAGATACCTTAAATTAGCAACAGCCTGTTGCAGCTCAAGTATCTTTCAGCAAAGAGAAATAAACACAACTACACATTTTTTTTAGGTAATTCCTGGGACCTTCACCTTTTTTCTTTTCCTGCTCTTTATGCCCCAATGGAGCATAGGCCCTCAACCAACTCACACCAACTCATCCTATCCTGTTCTATCGCAGGAAGCCCCCCCCCCCCCCCCCCTCTTTCCAACCCCACTCTCAAGTTCAATTTTCTGGTTTTTTTTCCTATCTTTATGTGTGGATTCCAGTGTAAAGATATTCCAGTTTTACAGTTCTCAGGTTTTCTCAAAGTGAGGCTTATCCAATACTGGCATATTTTCTGCACCTCTTGACTCACTGCAATTTGTTTAGTTTTCTCCTAAAGCTCACTTCAGTGATTCTATCATCCAATTTAATCCTGTGCACGTTTATGAATATTTATAGTTTATTGCTAACAGTTTTCGTTTTCAGCACCATACTGCACTACTAATCTCACAATACAGCTGGCATATTGTAAGCTTCATCATCATCATGTAGCAGTCTGCCTGAAAGAAACTCGGTCTCTTGCCAGTTCTCCTGCCTCATGAACTTTCACATTCAAGGAGTCACTTATTTCCTGTGCCCATCTTCGTGTCGGTTGTAAGTTTAGTATTAGTTTTAGTCTCCTCAGACTTTCCCAAATGTCTTGGTGCAATGAGAACTCTTGCCTTTTGTACTTATATTTTAATATCTCTATCAGCTCCCACATGAGACTTCCAAAACTGTATTTCACAGACCTGGAAAGTTGGTGTGGAAGCTTCATACATATATATATTTCACTTCCTGTTGTCTTTTCATTTTTCATTCTTTTAATTTTGTGAATGTATTTTCCCCATTGCTGTTTAAACAAACAAAAAAGTCAATGTGGGATCACTGGCAAAGATTTGGAGTTCAAGCCTTGTGCAGATTTCTGCTGGCGACCAGCCACTCTGTCGAGAAAGACTGTGCTCCTGGGATCAAACATAATCAAAGAAATTAATCCTCGCATTTTTTACCAATTTTTTTTTAAATTTTATATTGCTTGGTTAGAAGTGACAAATTAATGAAAGTGAATTAAGTTAAAAGCAACAAATCTCACCCTATAGCCCCAGACAGACACACACCAGTTATTGCCATCCATAACCACCAGAACACAGAAAACGGCCTGCAAAAGGATTGACAAATCATACATTAAAGATTAGAAAACCCTATGACTATTTCACCACAGTTGAACAAACTGAACCCAAAGACTCTTCTTTATGCCTTCTCCTGAAGAAATCTAAATCTAAATTATATGCAGAACTAGTCAGCTTTAAAGAACTTTAACCACGAATGACAAATTGAAAGCTGCAGCTACAAAGCCTTCATCAGCATACGACATGGCTTTATGGCGCGGTCTGTCACAAAATGTGCATCCATGCTCAAACAGAAAAGGCTCTGTATCCACGTTTTGTCAAACCAACAAGATACTGGCTCTCTGTCACATTTTGGAGTGTACTGGGCACATGGATCTGGACTCACAGATTCCTAGACCAATCAGCACTCGATGGATGATGTGATCAGTTGTTTCAATTCTTATAACACCAGGTATCTATTTTAAGCTGGACTGACCCGGTAGAAGAACCAGACCTCCAGGACAACCCAGTCCCAAACTGACAGAGGACTGGAATGGAATAAAGCCACAGAAAAGAAAAATTGCTGATAGAGAATTCTATTGATTTCTCTGGGAAACCTCTAAACACCCAGGGTAGAACAGGATCAATTGAATAAGCTACCCTGTGTGGGTTTCGGGGCCCTGTTATAGGAAAAACAAAAATAAATAAAAATTGCCTACCCGAAAGCATGTCGTAAGAGTCGACTAATTGGGAGCTTCCTTCGAAGTCGGAGTGCATCTGCCTGAGAGGCAAGGAACCAGCAGTCTGCATACAAATGAGTCAGATCTGTCAAATGGATGCACACGCAACACTCAGGTTCTGGAACAGGACTGACGTCCAGAAGTGGATGAACAACCAGAACTTTCCGCTGGTGAACGAGAAGAAGAAGAAGAAGAAGAATTGAATAAGCTGAGCTGGTTGCCAAGACCATTTTCTTTAAATTAAAAAAAATCTCCCCCTGAAATGGCACTATGAATATACCATCTTTAGGCAAGCATGACGATTCCCATTCTGGCTACTGTGTTTTCTTGAATGCTTGTAATAAGAAGAAACTCCACAGGGGAGCATGTACAGCAGGAGTCTACCAATCACTAGAAGTGATCCCTTGTCAACAAATGTTTGGGCCCACCAGCTCGAAGACATTTTCGGAGGGTGGGTCCACCTGAGTTCATGAGGCTCAGGGTTGATCTGCTCCTGCTGCAAGTATTACCGGATGTTCTCGGACAGGGACAAGACGAAATTGGTGACTGTGCAATAGGTACTATAAGATTTGAAGTTTATTTATATAGTCACTGCGGTAGAATAATTAGAGCAGTCAGCATACCTGGACGACCAAGTGGCAAACTTATGGTTGGTTTATCGGACACATGCTGGTCTTTGTTGGCAAATGGCAGAGGGACACAGGCAGACAATTTGGACACAGTGGACTTTAAGGGGTAAGACTTTTGTTTCCACTAGATACCCGGATATACTTGTAATAAAAGCCCTACCCCAAATATATGACCTAGGTAAGATCCATCAGTCAGGTTTTGTTCATGCAGTGAAAAGCATATGGGATGTTTTGCATTATTAAGCAAAGAATATGTTTAAAATATTTGTGGTGTATCCTTTATTCCTTTATAGAATGTTGTAAAACCAACCCCAGCATTTTTTTAGGCTGTTTGGTTTTACAAGGCAATTTTACGTTCAGCAATTTGCCACTGCTTTCTGAAGGGTCGTCTTACAATAATACTGTTGAAATCAATGTGAAGTGATCTGCTGCGAAAACTGCAAATTTAAGTAAATTAATGCTTTAAACAAATTATAATATAAATTAACATTAAATATCTGTAAATACTCAAGCAGGTACCTTTTTGTTCATGAAAAAAATAAGCCATCCCCTGAAAAAACACCTTTAGGAGCAATAATGATTCTAAGACTGGGTTTTATTTTCAGCGAACGCTATATTTACCTATATTTATAGCCAAATCTGTCTTACTGTGTCGTATAAAAAAGTCTTAATTAAAGCACTTCTATTAAATTCATATCCCCCCTGACAGTCAGAAAAACCATTAAATTTATATCACCCTTGACAGTTAGAAAAAGTATTAAATTCAGATCACCCTTGACAGTTAGAAAAATTATTAAATTCAGATCACCCTTGACAGTTAGAAAAACCATTAAATTCATATCACCCCTGACAGTCAGAAAAACTATTAAATTCATATCACCCCTGACAGTCAGAAAAACCATTAAATTCATACCACCCCTGACAGTTAGAAAAACCATTAAAACAAACCAAAGAGCAGCTAAAAGTATTTCTGAAATAATATTCGTTATCTATAACACAATATGCCACTTGGCCACCAGCTGTTGCTGTCTGATCAGCTGCCTCCACATCCTGCTGCAATGGATGTGATCTCTGACTGTTTAAGGCCTATTTTTTAAAATTTTGTATTCTAGTCTTTAATGGTCTGCCTGTTCTTTTGTTCCCTTCCATTGAGCCCTGCTGGTAATATTATCTCAGTATTTGAAAATGTATGTCGAGATCTTAAACAGCTGGGCCAAACAAAATGTATTAAGTCAAAATTAAAGTCAAGAGGAATGACTTCATTGTACCGGTTTTTATCCCACACAGTTCTGTGTCTCTCTCTGCAAATAGTTAGCAACCCACCTAGAGTGTCGCACAAAACATGAACTCAATCACTCCTGCAACAATCCCCAAGGTTATCCGTAATAACTACACTCGTGACTTAACAATGCAGCCATGAAACAAACCCATAACCTTCAGAGCGTGAGATAAACAGCTTGACCACTTTGCCACCAAGATCCCTGGTCAAGAAATAATAGACTAGATACTTACTGGCTTCTGTAAGTGAGGAATTTGAGACACGAGTAAGTGGATGTCATGATGAAAAACATCATGATTGGGTCTAGCAGGATGTGTCTTGACAAGGCCAAGATTCCTGTGTCTGATTTGAAACAATTGTTTAAAAAAAGTATTAGTGCTTTCAAACGTGAAGATAACAGAAAAATGCATAAAAACAGCATATCTGATACTGACTTACCTTAAAAGATCAAATACAGGATGAACCATAAAACAAATTAATTCATGTTTTTTAACAAAATAACAAAACAAGAGAATCAAAATTTTTAACAATTGTACCTATCTGCAGAAAGGTCCTTGTTTTTTACATTCCATAAAATAACAATAGACAACATGATTACAATTAAATTGTACCGTAGTAAAATAATTCAAATCTACTCAGAAAATATAAACCAAGCGTACTTCTTCAAATAATTCATGCCATGTTGTGTTGGTAGCCATGTCTAGCCAAAACCTTATGTCTCATGTACATTCAATCAATTCTGACACAGATGATCTTCCATACCATGATGTCAAACTGCCCAGCATCTTCTCTTCGGGTCTCTGTCTGCATCTTTTCCCCTCCAACTTTACCACCGTCATGATGTCTTTGAGTTTTCTCCTTCTTGTGATATGATCAAAGAATGTAGCTTATTTCCTTCTGATGTAGGCAATCAGTTTTCTTCAAGAGTCCATTTCTTTCAAGACATCCTCATTACTCTTTTTATCTGTCCATAGTGTTCTCATTATTCATCTATAAAACCATACCTCCACCGCTTCCACATAATTCATCACTGATCATCCAACTGTCTAAGATTCACTTCCATAAATTAGTAGAATAGGATATATAAAGTCTTGAGAAAGTGTAGTTACACAACACAGCGCAACTGTACTCATAAACATAGTTTATAGTTCAACCATACTTACCAAAGAGGATTAGAGATGCGGCAAAAATTGAAGCTAGTATTGAATGTGTGAGCAACCAAACCGTCTGATATGCTAGGGGCACTAACAATGCACCCAGCACAGCACAGAACTGAAGGAGCCCAAATTGCAGAGTTAAAATGGTTCAACAGATACATAATGAGTTGAGTTAAAAACCAACTTCACAGAACTCAGTATTCCCATAAATGATTCATCCCCAACTTCAGTAAATCAATACAGACTTTAAATTCAAATGGTACCAGTACTGATTGTATGTCCGTGAGATTCACCCATGAGTGTCAGCCAGATTCCCCATGAGTGTCAGCCAGATCTCCCGTGAGTGTCAGCCAGATCTCCCGTGAGTGTCAGCCAGATCTCCCGTGAGTGTCAGCCAGATCTCCCGTGAGTGTCAGCCAGATTCCCCATGAGTGTCAGCCAGATCTCCCGTGAGTGTCAGCCAGATCTCCCGTGAGTGTCAGCCAGATCTCCCGTGAGTGTCAGCCAGATCTCCCATGAGTGTCAGCCAGATCTCCATGTGTCAGCCAGATCCCCCATGAGTGTCAGCCAGATCTCCATGAGTGTCAGCCAGATCTCCATGAGTGTCAGCCAGATTCCCCATAAGTGTCAGCCAGATCCCCCATGAGTGTCAGCCAGATCTCCATGAGTTTCAGCCAGATCTCCATGTGTCAGCCAGATCCCCCATGAATGTCAGCCAGATCTCCATGAGTGTCAGCCAGATCTCCATGAGTGTCAGCCAGATCCCCCATGAGTGTCAGCCAGATTCCCCATGAGTGTCAGCCAGATCCCCCATGAGTGTCAGCCAGATTCCCCATGAGTGTCAGCCAGATTCCCCATGAGTGTCAGCCAGATCCCCCATGAGTGTCAGCCAGATCTCCATGAGTGTCAGCCAGATCTCCATGAGTGTCAACCAGATCCAGAGAATACATCTGTGCTTTGGCACTGTTTACTCACTCCCAAATGGCTTAAAAAGTTCATTTCTCATAGAAACTCAAATTGAACCATGCAACAATGTGAACTAAATACTAACAATTATTTTAATTAGACTATGGCTGTAATAAAGGCAATGGTAAGGCTGAGTACTCAAGAAATCACACATGCATGCATTCTGACTCAATCTGTATGTTCAAGAAAATTCAGACTGCCTTCAAGAATAGATTGACTCATTAAGTGCACTGCTAATGTCTCCTCTAACCGTTATTTTTGTGCGAGGTTATGCAGGTGCTAAATGAAATTAGTGTGTTAGTGATCTGGTGAACAATGCTGTTAGCATGAGTTGCCTGACCCTGGACAGGAGCAAAGTTATCAATGACATACAAGATGCACACTGCAAAGATGATTATGGAAACAGGCATGATTTAGTACCCTTGTTCACGGTGGTGGATATAGGGGTGCAACCTGGAACTGCTAGATATAAATATTTCAGTAAGGGTCTAGACATTTGATAATCAACACAAAATGGGTGTGATCCTACTGTGAAGCTACCGAGGAGGAGGTCGGCCACCTGATCCTAATTCTTGGCTATGGTCAAAGCAATCAATGAGAGTGAGAACCAGAAAAAAGGAAAGAATTACAAAGTGACAATGGCCACTGGAGATGCCACATTTCTTGAGCATGTTCTGACCAAATATAAAATGTAAGAGAATACATAATGCAATGTTTAGTTTTCTTTTTCAAGGGTGAATGCCAATCACACATCCCCAGGTGCTGGTCAGTTAAAAAAATTAAATCTTCTTCGTCTGCATCTCTGGCCTCTCAACACGTTTGGACTTGTGGTCATTTACATTTAGGCTGTGAAATCTGCACTTTTCATCCCAACACATTTAACTTCAGCAAACGCCTAATAACCAAGAGAAGATGGAAATGGCTTGGCCACGTTATGAGAATGAATCCTGATATACCTGCCAAAACAGCTCTCACATGGATACCAGAGGGAAAGAGAAAAAAGTGGCGCCCAAAAAACAACATGGAGACGAACGATGGAAAGTGACCTGAGTGTGGCATCTTTGTCATGGAAAACTGTATTGAAGATAGCACAGGACAAGAAAGCATGGAAAGTCCTCTCTGAAGCCTCATGTGCCACTAGGCATAACGAGAACTGATGATGAAACCCCTAATTAATTAGTCATCTTTTATGACATGCTTAATGGGGGGAAAAAAAGGAGGGGGGGGGCTGTGGGCCTATTCTTTACGCCCTGAAAATGGGGCCCTGGATCCATGACTCTTTAGCAACTCTGCACATGTAGAATTTGGGATACATTTATCATTATAATGATGCTCGGTAGAAAGAATTTAATGAAAACAAAAAATAGATATAGCCTACCACTCTCATGCCAACATATCTGACATCTCCATAAGCATCTCCAGGCTTGTTGAACGGAAAACTTCCATCATAGCCACTTAGGAAACCAGCCAGACCAACCAGCATCTAGACAATTTAAAAATGTGAGCAGTATTATTCTGCTGAACTGAAATAAGTTTAGTAGTGTGTTTGGAATATTGCACAAATATGCTTAAAAAATTATATGCCTTCTACATATTGAAGATTATCTACAGCAGTGTTCTTCAAACCCATGGGCAGTGACCCCCTCAGGTGGGCCACCAAAAATGGCTGGCTTATCATGTAATGAGGTAGAATAGCTTACTGTTCTCCTCCAAGATTACCATTTGTAGGATTAACACCTCAAGGTTGAGAATCAACCAGCAACAAGAGATATGCAACAAAATCAAGCAGCATTTAAAGAAAACTGCAACTCCGATTATCGTGAAAAAAGGAAAGCTGATCGAGTTGGCTTCTGATGTAAATCTTGTGTCCGGATACAAACTGCAACCATTGTCTGAATTCTGGATTTCACTTGAAAAAAAAAATATGCAGGTGTTGATGTCTACAGCTAAAAGATTGTGTACCTTTGTAGCTTTTTTTTTTTTTTTTTTTTGCAAACTGCCTATTTGTGTCAAAAGACTTTCTCAGCCACATCAAAAAAAAAAAAAAAACAGACATGAAATAAATGTAACTACAGTGCTTTATCTATCAGAACAAAAGCTGCAGCAACATATTTGATACTTTCTAACCACTAAGCTGTAGGAAATGTCCCATCAGCTGAACACTGTAATTTTGTGACATCAGATTTCAGAAATAAACTACCATCTACACTTGTTTGTGTTTCTGCATTTGGTTAGCTGTCAGGTGGGCGGCAAAAAAAATGGCCCCATTCTGATGGGCTGTGCGTGTCTAGGCTGAAGAACCCTGATCTACAGTATACCCACTGCTGCCTTTACAAATATTATGTGGTGAGGCCAGAATCTCTTACATGGTGTGGCTCTCATATAGTCTGAAAGTCAAGACATTTTTTTTAACTGCCACCATGGAAATCAAAGCCTAGTATTCAAAGATCATGAAATTGTTCAACTCATTCACAAACCTGTCTCACCTCCTACATATGTGCTTAAATGGTGTTTAAAGGTGAGAAGACTTGACATCACCGTGTAGGGTTTTATTCTATAAGGCTCAGTCTCACTTTCCCCAGCAGCTGGTTGCGCTTAAAAGAGCACGGCACAAAGCACAAACTCCATAGCTTCAGCAATGACCCCCCCCCCCCCCCTCCAGGGATCTAAAAAAAACACTTACACCAAAGAACCAAAGTATGACTGAAATAGATAGAAACTGCAACTTTCAGAACACAAAATAAAAAGCTAATCATTTTGCTATACAGACTGAACGATCAGTTTGGAATATAAATCTCTCCAAAAAGGCTTCCCCTTCCCTGTTCTCTTTGTCTGCTGTCACTGGCTTATCATTATCAGTGTATATAATGCCTGTTGTGACAGAATGATCCTTCCTTTGCATCTGTCTGTGAAGTCTCCAAAACCTACCCAGTGATCTATCCCCTCCAATTTTGCTCATAAAATGTCCCCATTTAGCCTTCTTTGCAACTGCTGCGCACCACTTGTAGATAAATGGAGATATGGGTCAAAATACCACAGTATTTTTTTTCCTCACTTCTGGACTTTGATCTGGTTCTAGAAATTGTGTTTTGCATGCACATTTTACAGATCTGGCTTATTTGTATGCAGGCTGTTGGTTCCTCACGTCTCGGGTAGATTTTAAACAAATTTTAAATTGCAGCACAAGTGTGGCACCCAACTCTTATCTTAATCTCTTATTCTGCAGCCAAAATACAAACCGTACACCATTTTTAATAACTTTAGTTATTTTTCGTTTTTGTGAGAGAAATGTCACCTCACCGCATACATAAGTTATCAGCGCTGCTCACACGCTCCTAGGCATTTCTAACTATAATAGAATCAATAGAGACAAAAACACTAGCTAATAATTTCAAAATTGTGTCAGGGATAAGATAATTATTCACAAAAGTGATGTAATCATAGGTAGGACTGCATCATCAACTTCTGGTTAGTTTTATTGGTCATTAAAAAAAAATTATGCAACCGGCCCCAACAGCTGTGTCACATAAATAATTTGGCCCTAATTAAGTAATCTAGTAGCATACATCTTGAAAACTAGAGCCAATCAAAATTTTTTACTGTCATTTTTGTATTCAGCACATCAAACTTAGTTAAGATCAGCCATTTTCATTTCTGGTGCATTCTGGTTGTTGATTATGTTGGTCGTGTAATTAGTCGCCTCTTATGACATGCTTAATAGGGCAGCACCGGGTCTATTCTTCACCACCCCCCCCCCCCCCCCACCATCCCTTCTCAATGAATTTGCTGCTTGGTGTTTCCACAGTCTGTCAGACAATATAATTTCTAACTTTGTCTCAGATGGTTAAGTTGGCGGCTTTTCTCAGGCATCTCATTTAACAGGTGTTCATTTTATAAAGGTAAGCCTTTGATCACATTGAAACAAATTCATCACAAGACACAATTATTACCTTGCCAAGTGGAGGATGAACATCAAAGAAGAATGTTTGGTTTATGTACCAGCTACCCATTTTACCAAAATGTGTTTCATCCCAACTAGAAAAAAAAAAATATAAACAAATACATCAGTTACTTTCATCAGTCAAATCTATGACATTTCCATCATCATTTCCTTTCAAGTTTTCGCACTTTTAGTATACTGCTAGACAGAGAAGTGACACATATTTCAGGTCAAATCTAGCACTGGTGAACTACAGTAGCAATGATTACATGTCTGCCTGCTGAATTGAAGGTCGTAGGTTCAAATCCAGATAAAGGCAGATTTTTAGAATTGGTGCTAGGATATCTTTGTCAACTCAGCCTAAAATGGATACCAAGAAATGTCCTGGGAAGTCCACGTGGCCAGTTTGATTATGTTGACATTCCCAAAAAATGATGATATTTAATAAGATTCAGCTATATTTGAAAACACTACAGGAAACATGACTTCGCTGTTTAACTCTTTTTAACCCTTCAAACCCAGGAATAACTCTTGACTCTTTACAGACTTTTTGCCAAAAATGATCATAACATCCAAAGTATTTAAATTAACTGCTTCAAATAAAGACTAGCAGATACATATTTGAACAGAGAAGGCATGTGCATTCTTAGAATTTGATAGCAGTGTTGTTGAACAAGTAAAAAAGTACGGTAAGCACACAATTTTGTGTGTCAATAATCTTTATATGTGTCTAACATCCTTGAATGTTGTGTGATCTTAATAATATTTTGTTGTAATAGTGACATTTAAATAGTTTAGATTTATTCTGCACTCATTTATTTTTAATTTGATATATTATATGTCCCGATACAGCCAATAAGTTTTCTTCAGGAAGATTTAGCTCTGTTGTGTTGAGGTAAAAAAAATATTCTGCTTACAATCAAAGAGTTAACTAAAATAGGTCATGACCCCGTTAGGGTTCTTGTAAAAATCCATAACACCAAGAATTTTAGGGTTGTGTGGATAGAGAGAAGCATACAGAGATATAAAATCGCTCTCTATAGAATGTATGGGATAAGTTTGAATAATAAAAACTACATACCAGAAACAGGACTTCCTGGATGCACTCATTATTAAAGCAATGGCACCTCTTTATAAAAAAAAAATTTTTAAAGGACAGGTCAGATGTTTTAATGACCAAGCCCTTGTGCTGAACTAAATGCTGGACAGATCATCAGCTCATTGTGTCCAAACACGATATTCATATCCAGCCAGCCAGGCGTTCGCAATGAAAGACATCAGGAAAAAAAAGATTAAATATTCCCAAACTTTATTAGGTAACCATCAAGCAATCATTTGCTGACACCCTAGACTGACTCCAGTCTAACCCACTAGATGACCAGAAGTGAAAACTAAGTGGACAGTATTAAAGGAGAAAATTTATATAACACTGTGGATAAAATTTATGAAGAAATACAAGAAGGTAGACGCTCTCATTATGCCCAGAACAAATGCTTCAAGGACACTCTAAAGCCATCACGTTGACGATATCTGCTCTGTCCATGCTTCTTCCCACATGCCTTAGTGCAATGATTGCTAGTTGGTCCGCTTGATCATTTCCCTTTACGTCCGCATGACCAAGTGTGTAGATCCAGGTGAGGGAGGTTAAGTGCTTGGTCTCTTGAGTGTTACAGCAGATGCACAAGGGAGAGATATCCATATAGGGGGTGGGGAGGGGAGGGAATGTGGATGACTTTTAAAGATATTAAATACCTCGTGGAAATAGTCAACGAAGAAAGCCAGAGAACCTTGAACACCTTAGCAAAACATTTTATTTGGTAAAGATAAATGACTTCCCAAAACATGTAGTATCTTCACGCAAAACGGAGTTTATATAACACCCAATTTTCCTGTAATTTAGTAGTTATGTTGCTAGATAATATGGGAAAAAGCACTAAAAACAACTGACACTAAAGACAATCAACTTTTTCACTAATGTTTATTCTGTGTACCAGGTGACTTTGTTATCATTCTATGCTTTGCATGAGATATATATTCGGGCTATCCCTCATGAAAGTGTGACTCTATAAATGATGGAAACAAGTCTACTTCGCAACTTTCATCATCTCACTTAAGACAAATCTAATAAATAGATTTAGTAACTTGGTAAACACCTGTGTGTCACCGGGGCCCTCATGAGAAGCAAAGAATAGTGACACTGCACCCTACCAGGCATGTGGTAATAGGCGACTAAGGGTAGGGTTGGGCTTGAGGCTGGCTACCTCATCCTCATGTAAAAACCATAGCCACAAAAACCAACCAACCATGGATAAGTCAAAAAGAGAAGCAAGTAAAATCAAGCCAACCATGATGAGGGGAGGCTCTTCAAATAGAAGAAGAATGACAAGGTGTGGAGAAAGCCGTAAGGAGTCCTGATCGTTGATGTACCTCCTCTCAGCTAGGAAAACCTCCAGAATTGGCACCTGGAATGTTAGAGCTCTCTATGATATAGGGAGAACAATGGAAGTAGCAAAGGAAATGAAACATTATAGAATTAGTATTTTAGGGTTAAACAGGAGAACAGCATAACTAGAATGTCTTTGCATTGGAACCCACAGGGGCATAGGAAAAAGGGAAGGGAAAAAAATACATGGAGAAGAGAGCTGGAGAATGAGGTTAGAAAGACTGGGAGGACATGGTGAGAACTCCATGCAATGGCGAAGGACAGAACGACTTGGCGTGAGTTGGTTGAGGGCCTATGCTCCATTGGGGGATAGAAAGGCAGAAGAAGAACTTGGTAAACCTCACAAACGCACTATATTTTGGGTTTTTAATCATGTTGCCAAATAAACCTAACAGTCAATATGTGTGTTATTGAACACAAAGAACGTGAAAGGAAGCTTCAACTGACCATTTAGCATTTGTATACTGGTCAGCAGTTAGTTAAAACCCCTGTACACGCCATACACTGACTAGGCCATCGGGTAGTTACCAAGTAGCGCATGATGTGTTCTTTGGGACACAAAGAGTTAAGAACCCATGATATATCATATGTGTAAGGAGACTGAAAGAGTTAAAGTAGTCACAAAATGTCAGCAACAATAGAATAATAATGTCTAGACTACAACTCAACAAATAATTTTGTCCTGACAGTCTCTTACGTTAAGAGAGTTAATCACTTACCAAATATGTGGTGGCTGCTCAATGTTATAAACCCGTGTCAGAAAAGAAAGGGATGTAAGAACCAGCCAGCAGAGGTAATAAGCTCTGGATTCACTCTGGATCTGCTGCTCGTCGACTGGGGTTATATCACTAGAACTTTCGGTTAACTCAGCCAAACTTTTGTCACTTCTGCTCTCTAGTTCACTTTCATTATGGCGTACCTTTGACGTTCTCTGATAGAATTTTCGATTTCTCAAATCACCGTGTAACTCCTCATCTGTATTAACTTCTTTCAAACGTCGAGATGTCATACACTTTTCTTCGTGGATTTCAGATTCATTTATATCAGTAACTTCGCTAAAAGAATCGTCATCTTCAAAGGAAGTTTCAGAAGATGTAGACAGTGTAGATTTATCCGGAGACGGACACCCATCATGATGTTGCTTGTTACCAAGTCTACTCGTTGACATGGCCTTTGGATGTGTGGATCCCTTAGCTAAAACCACAGTATCTGATACAGACTTGCCAAAAGATTGCAATACCTCACCGCCGCTCGATTTGAAAGCGAATCCATAGGTGGGATTTTTTAGGAGTTTCACGTTCTTTTTTGGTCCATGGTTCTCGTCGGACAAGTGTTCTATTGTTCCTATACCTTCTCCGCTGCCACAATCTCCATCACAGATTTGTTTCCCTAAACTATTTACACTCATTTCGAGAAATATATATTAAATTATTAATTGTAAATGTTTCTAGCAGATCAGAAGGCTGCAGCCAAAGTTACAAGTTCCGACAATTGTATCAACATCCGTTCCCATGTCTATCGTCTCGGACGCCGGCGGGAGGTAGTGGTCTTTGTTCCCTAACAGATTGAAGTCTGGTGGATTTATACCTTTCTGTGGGATTAATGCCTTTAAAAACGAAAGTCAAACAGGAGTAAATCACAGTAACCATGTTCAGCCGTATGAAACAATTTTATAAGAGCACCCGTGCGGTTACAAAACAGTCTGCAGTCCAAATATGGGACGCCGCCTCACGGTCGACTTTTTATTTTCATCCTCTGTCAGTCTTTGGGCTGCTGTCCAATTTTAGGTTATGCCTGGATAAACTTGTTTCTCGTCTAATGGTCTCCTTAAATATACAATACAACGAGAAAGATTAGCTTGTGTTCATTGATGTTCACACACACACACAAGTCAATGCATAAATTGTAACGGACTGTGGGATTTTAACAAGAAGCTTGGGATATATCGACTACTAATGTTAACTGTTAGTTTACATCATCATCATAAACCACTTCTTCTCTTTAGCGACGTGGGAAGGAATAATTTGCGATCCAGTACACGCTGTATGTCACTGGATATTGTCATGTCGTGAAGATGGAGAGTGTCTGTAATGTTTTCGATCCATTATTTCCGCGGCCGTCCTCTTGCATCGATTGCACATATCCACGTTGCCGAAGACGGCAGCGGAGCGCTTCTAGTGTGTTCCAAGTGTTGCGATGTTGGTTCTTACCTGAACTCACAAACCTCTTGTCAGTTGAATGTAAATAAGAAAGCTGCAATAGAAAAAAAAAGTTTTGTAGCGCGATTACAGGACGAGGCATTTGGTGCTGCAGAGTTCGTTTAGTGTCATTAAATCACAATATAGGATTGGTGGACATACTTTTTGTTGACAAACTGTCCAAGTTATGCAGAAGTGGCAGGCAATGGACAATACAGTGTATTGGCTGCAAAATCGTGTGTTCGTAACAATCATACTGGATAAAGCAATCACTGAGAAGCTAGGTTGTTAGTCAGTCAGTTAATTAGTTGATTTCTTTGCTTAGTGCTACAGGCCTTCAAGAATAATAAAATCCCTCATCTAAAATCTAACTTAGCTAGGTGGCTGCCCAGAAGCTTACTGTACTCCGGCAGGCACCATCCCACTTTTGTATACCAGGAGACGAAGCAGCGAATAAACTTGCCAACAACAAGGCAGAATGTAACACACTTTGAGAAGGAAATTGCCAGCGAGTCTATCAAAAGTGAACAGAATCAGGACAGAGATAACTACCACTTGCTTGACCAGCATGGGCCGATCATTATTCTACGCTTCGGACAGAGGCATAACAAGCTTAACAAGCATATTCACAGGCTTTGTCTAAGTAGTTGACCGTTGTGCCCTCGTGGGCTGAGTGTGCATATTGCACAAGATAATCCTAAAAACAGATAATGTGATCACAAGAAGTCTTCTGTTAGTGCAAATCAAAATATGATCACCAGAACAGGACAAAAGTAATTGCTCATTTCCTGTGCCAGCGGAAACAAAACAAAAGAAAGCATCTCAAATGAAACAACATACTTAAGAATACATCTATCTGAACATAAGTGTATATCTATCTACAAGGGACGTGTGAGGTAAGGATACACGCATATCAAGTTAAGTGTCAACCCAGAAGGTGACGGGAGACGTGTGGGATAAGAATGCGTTTTTTCTTTTCTTTTGCAGCAAGTGTGCGGATGGATCAATCAGCGTTTACACGTACATTTGCTACGATAGAAGGGGCATCTGTAGGAAAGTTCGATTTGCTATCATGTCGATAATTTTATCAGTCCAGTAGCTCTTTCTTCTCTGTGTAATTTTTAAATAAACTCTGCCTATCCTAACAAATTATAATTAGATCATTATCACGTAGCAGGTCCTTTGTAGAAAGTCCGTTTCATCACGGTTTGCCTGAAAGAAACTCGGTCTCTCGTCAGCTCTCCCGCCACGCCCACTTTCATTTTCAAGGAGTCACTTATATCCTGTGCCAATCTTTATATTTGTCGGCCCCTGCCCCTCCTTCCTGGTACCATACCTTCTTCTATTTTTTTTCCAGTCCGCCATAGTGCTTGGTGTGACCAAAATAACTCAGCTTCCTAGACAAGATGTTGTTTGTTAGCCAATCTTCCTTGAGAGAAAAAGATGCTCGACAGTTTGACATCATGGCAGGGAGGATCATCTGTGTAAATGTCGACAGAAAGTACACGGGCAGAAGGTTGTGGATAGATATGATTACCCACGCCACACGCACGGACTTTAAACAGAAGAAGTTGCCAGTATATGCACTTGATATTATTCTTTTCCGATCCTCAGCCCGTTAACTGTCTGCAATTTTTTCCTTCGTTGTTTCTATTAATGTCCTAATTTCCTCCTCCATGCGATCCATCGCACCACGTTGCCATAAATCCAGCTCACTACATGTATCATTCATGTATCGCCTGAAAAGAATATGCAAGGTCATGGCCCTATTTTTTCGAGGGGGTGGGGGGAGGGTGGTGTGGAGTTGGCGGAAGAATACTTACTGTTCCTAACAAGCATGTGGTAATCGTAGAATAATTAAGGGTGTTTACTTCGAATTTGGAGTGCATATACCTGAGATGCGAGGACCAAACAGTCTGTTTATAAATAAGCCAGATTTGTAAAACGGATATGCACGCACAACTCAGTTTTTGGAACAAGACTCAAGTCCAGAAGTTGATGAACAACCAGAAATTTCTGCCAAAGTTTACAGCCGGTGAACGCGAAGAAGAGCAAGAGGAACATACAATTAACTTAATTTTATATACACATGGCTTTCTTCTGGCGGTATGCAGTACCAGCACCTTTATTTAAGGCATCATTTTATACCGGTTCTACTTAAATATGTACTTTGTGGTGAGTACCTGCACTTCTTTTAGGAGGGAAAATGCCCTAATTATATAAGCGAGGGGAAGACAATGGAAGAGATTGATAATTGCTGAAGCTGAAACTACAAAAATATGAACAGATCTATCATCTTCTTCTTCTTCGCCTTCACCAGCTGTACACTCTGGTGGAAACTTCTGGTTGCTCGTCCACTAGTGAACTGCAGTCCTGCTCCAGAACCTGAGTGTTGCGTGTGCATCAGTTTTATAGATCTCATTCTCTTGAATACAGACTGTTGGTTCCTTGCCTCTCCGGCAGATGCACTCCGACTTCAAAGGAAGCTCCCCAATTAGTCGACTCTTACGACATGCTTTTGGGGAGGCAGTGAGTCTATTCTTGTTTTCCCCACAATGGGGCCCCGGAACCCACACGGGGGATCTATCATCTAAGCCAAGCCTCACGAGAAGCGCAAGGTAAATACAGAAAATCACGACACTGGGTTACAACCTGGTATCAGTAAGACGACGAATGAAGAGGAAGAAGATTATACAAATACAAAGTGATGGGAAACTCTCGCTATGGAAAGTTGTAAAAGTTGGAGAAGAAAATTCACAGAGTTGATCGACATAACAAGAAAGTAAAAGATAAGAGCAGAATAGACACAATACAATATAAACACTTACAGATTTATCTATATACGTTGTGTCATGTTTATTATTTCGTTGGGTTAGTTCCTCTATTAGCCAGCGGAGAGACTGGATAAATCAATGTTGAGAATACGTGATCTACACTTCAAAATAGAACAGCGGTTTGATATAACACCAGCACCTTACCGTGGGTATACAGTTTAAAATACCTTCACTAGACTCTGGAGGCGTAACCCCGAATTATTACAATTGACATCAAGGTGGAAATACTCGACCTGTTCTGCTTGAAATCTTCCGTGAATAGTTGTCACTTTCACAATTGGTAGGGAATAACAGGGAGTTAGGTTAGTTGCGTATCCTTTACAGGACGTTGCAGAACCAACCCAACAGCCCCTGGCCGTTGTGTGGTTTCTCTAGGCAAATTTACGTCCAGTAGTTTGCCATTTCTGACTGGACGGTCAGGCACCCCGATACCACTGTCGAAACCAACGCAAAGCGCATGGCCCGCAGTTGGGTTCGCTCCCGGAACCCCCGGCATTACGAAGCGTTCGCATCGACTTAAGCAGGGAGTATATAAACATAAACAAGAGCGTGGTTCGTTTGAGATAAGAAAATGCAAGCTCGGTTGTATTTGGTCATTTTCCATGCGCATGGGCGAGTGAAATACGTTCTACCCCATAAAGACTGTACCGGTCCCAGAAACTCCCTTCATTAGGTTATAGGGCCCCAATGACAACCGGATGGTGCTTTTAAATAACAAACAATTTAGCCCGACATTTGGCGGAGAACTTACGCGCATAGGTTTCTCAGTTGCAGTCTAAGTCCAAGCTTTACTTACCTTTACTAGAAGCTACACAATGACACCCTGGACACGCCCACAATCGAATCATCTCTAGTGCACACTACAAAATCATGGATATAAGTCACTCCGGTCGTATCCAGGCTGGCTACATATCTAACAAGTCCTTATAACAGACAATTATTCACACAACCATTCTTTGTTCCCACAAGACTACAACAGGTTTCAAAAGCCGCTGGAGGTGCCCAAACTATAACTTCTTTTGAGGATACGCCGAATACTTACGGTGTGCCTTGCTGGTTTGCCGTCCAGAGTGAGATTCCGTATAAGGCCTTAAGGGGTCATCAAACATTCAAGCAGCAGACGACGGCGACGAAAACTGAGATTTCAATGCTGGTATCCTCTGCATGTGGGAGTCGCCGTGGTGTGGCGGCTAGACGCTCGGCTGCGGATCAGAGGGCGGTGGGTTCGGATCTTGATGGAGCCGAAATTTTAAAAAAAAATGACATTAGCTACCAGGTCGACCCAGCCTTGAATGGGTACCTGGTGCAGTCCTGAGAAGTAAAGGCAGCCGACGTGATGCTGACTGCATCTCCCACCAAATGACGATTGGTCTATA